ATCATCGCCCTATGAGAGCTCCTACAACTCGATATATCCTGGCTCTGGTCCTGATTTTGGTAGCTTCGGCGAGTACTCGCAACATGTGGAACGAAGTGCAAATGTTAGCGGAGGTGAGCCCTCCTTTGGTCGACGTGGCAAGCAGTTGAACCTGGGACCTCTCTACAATATACCCACTCCTGCTCCTGGTAATGCAGCTGGCAGTGATCGGATCACTTTCCCCAGGGATCGCAGGCGCAGGAGCGTTGAGGATGGTGTGTGGGCGGGAGCAGCTCCTGAGGAGCAGGTAACCATGTGTTGATCAAGGATTATAGGGTTCCTCAGTCGTTATAATATCATGATTATCTATGTATTTATTGGAATTCTTAATTATCCAACAAATTTATAGATTATCAAAGTCATGTTCTTAAAACAACAATCCAGAAACCGATATATTTCGGCGCTTGGATTAGATAACAGTGCTTTCTCCCAACATCTACCTAATCTTTACCCCTTATCTTGATATTTTATAGCGCGCCTATTATGGTAACCGACCTGTGGAGAAAACCTGCCGCATCAACGAGGTCTGCTGCCGTCGTCCCCTGCGTCCCCAAGCTCCTCCCCAGCAATTCGGTCGCTGTGGAGTGAGGAACGCCGCCGGTATCACCGGTCGCATCAAGAACCCCGTCTACGTGGATGGAGACAGTGAGTTCGGCGAGTACCCCTGGCATGTGGCCATTCTGAAGAAGGACCCCAAGGAGTCGATCTACGCCTGCGGTGGCACCCTCATCGATGCCCAGCACATTATCTCCGCTGCCCATTGCATCAAATCGTAAGTTCTAGAGTTCTTTAGGAATCTTACATCAGAGGATTAACCTGTATTCTTTCTTTCATCCAGTCAAAATGGCTTCGATCTGCGTGTGCGTCTGGGCGAATGGGATGTGAACCATGATGTGGAGTTCTTCCCCTACATCGAACGCGATGTGGTCTCTGTGCACATCCATCCCGAGTACTATGCCGGCACTTTGGACAACGATTTGGCCGTCCTGAAACTGGATCAGCCCGTGGACTTCACCAAGAATCCCCACATCAGTCCCGCCTGTCTGCCCGACAAGTATTCCGATTTCACTGGAGCTCGCTGCTGGACAACTGGATGGGGCAAGGATGCCTTCGGAGAGCACGGAAAGTACCAGAACATTCTGAAAGAGGTGGATGTGCCAATCCTGTCGCACCAACAGTGTGAGCAACAGCTGAGGAACACCCGACTGGGCTACAGTTACAAACTGAATCCCGGATTTGTGTGCGCCGGAGGAGAGGAGGGCAAGGATGCCTGCAAGGGTGATGGCGGTGGTCCCTTGGTCTGCGACCGCAATGGAGCCATGCACGTGGTGGGAGTCGTGTCCTGGGGCATTGGATGCGGCCAGGTGAATGTTCCTGGAGTCTATGTGAAGGTCTCCGCCTACCTGCCCTGGATCCAACAGATCACCCAGAGCTATCAATGATTAACGGAGCAGCAGGATGAAAATCAGGAGGAGGAGGTGACTGGCTACCATGCGAATACCTCTGGACCCATTCCGGATGACACATCCTCCTCCTCCGACGAGTTCGTTTTCCACTTCTGACCGAAGCCATCCCTAAAATCTACTTCGATTGTGGCATTCGTCATCGTATTTATCAGCGTCGTCACTCCTATTTATTACGAATGCCTCTTTTGTTACCTGTTATATTTTGTTACATATATATCGCCCCCTCACTTCACTTCACTCCACCAATTGACCCACTCATTCGCAGCCCACAATTGTTACTTAATTGAGGACGCACAACCGTCGCGTCACCACTTGTTGATATTAATTGTAACTTGTATCTTGTACGTCTGAGTTCCGATTTCGTCTTGTAAAATAGTGTTTGTCATAACTTATATATTTATGTATTTGTAATAAATTTATAATTATGTATTTAAATAAAAAATAATTTATATAAAATATTTGAATATTACTTTTGTCTTTGGGTGGGCTGAAAATAATACTTATATTATTTATCTAAAAATGAAGTGTCATGAAACTCTAACTATTTGAATTTTTTTAACAGTTCTTTTTTTCTGATTTTGGAAATACTATTTCACTTTTAAAAAGAATTTAAATAGCATTAATGTAATGTAGTTTTAGTTGTGGAAGGGCTTAAAATAATATTTATTTAAATAAAAAAAAATATATTATTATTATTATTTAAATAAAAATAGTTTTTAAAGAGAGTTGTGAGAAGCCAATTTTTAATTTTTCCATGGTCTTTGATTGGATAGTAATAATAATCAAGATTAGAAGACAAATCATCAAAATTATTTATAACAAATCTTTAAATTTTGTGACTTCAGTTGGTTTATTTCAGAATACCATCAGAATTTCAATCAAAATTGATTCGAATGAGATTTTAGAGGTTCCTCTAACAACTTTCGTTTTTAGTTAATTTGATCTAAAAACTCCATAAAAATTACGACTTCAGCGGGGAATTTTATATTAAGTACTTACATTATATAATTTTCCAATTAAAATTATATTCAAATTTTGATTGGAAAACCATGGAAGGCCAAACTTCCCCTGTTTGTAAATTGCCAAGTTAGTTAGTTAATCTAACCGAAAGCGTAATCTTCGAAATGGCTTTCCCTGCACCGTTCCACTGCGAAACCCGCCAAAAGCGCCACTTAAAGTTCAATTACAAAGTAGTGCAGCACATAAAATGCAAATTAAATTTAAGACATTAACAAACCATAGGAGACCGACAACTTTACACCGACAGTTTGGTCAGAAAAACATGCCAACGAGGCATTAAAAGACGCCACCGAATCTTGGACGCCGAGCTTCCTCGATGGGATGGACTGGACAGAGATGGGTGTAAAGGTGCAATGTGTGTGGACTCAACTCCACATGATATAGTGGGCAGAGCCATTCAAATAGCTCAAAGTATTAAAATCATAACATGCCCGTGATCAGTTAAATTTAAAAACCGCAACCAACTTTCCGCAACTTGAAAAACTTTATGCTCGGCTGGCGTCTCTGAGAGGCTTATAAATTGGACACTTCCATTCAATTTGAAGTTCAATGCAGTTTTAGCAGCGATAGCGAGATGTACGGCCAAGGATTACGTTTTCTTCTTGCTCAACTTGTTTTGGGTAAGCCGGGAAGTCCCCAATTCAAGGGCGATACAAAATAGGATTCTGTAAAAGTGTAAAAAAAACATAACATAATAATTACAAAATATTTTATAAAGAGGAATTTTCTGTTGAAGCGATTTAAAATGTTTGTACAACTTTATTCCTTTCTTATATAAACTATTTAAAGTGTTCTAAAAAAACAATAAAAACTTGTAAGTTTTTAAAAATTCATATTACAAATGTCAAAAATAAAAAATACAATTAGTACATGGAGAATGGTCAAAAAATATTAATTTATAATAACAAAAAAATGTTACAAAGAAACCAACAAAAATGTAATAATCAAATTTTGGTGATTGTGATGTTAGTTGTTTGTTTCAAGTAAATATCATACTGGATAATTTCATCAGTTACCAAATGATTTATTCAATAACTCATTTTAAATCCGTGAATCTAATGAAATAAATAACAAATAAATCTCACCTCATAAATCTCAAAATTGTCTGGTTCTTCTATCCACTATATCCCTTTAGTCGTCCTTTTGGCCCATGTTATGAGTCGGCTTCACAAGAGGAATGGCTACCACTACAGGCCTCAGCAGCCGCCTCCAATCCACCAGGGCGGCTACTTCGAGCCCCATCACCCGGCAGTGGAGCCCCCCGAGCCGGAGAAGCCACAACACAGTCCCAAGAGCTACTACAGTCCATCGGGAGGAGGTGGTGGAAGCTCGTCTTCAAGCAAAGGATCTGGTGGCTATAGCATCGGCAGTGGCCTGCGTTCCATTGCCCAGGGATCGGCGGATCAGGCCCACAGTGCGGTGAGCAACCAGCATGCGGCTGCCAAGCAGGCGGCTTTCATAGCCCAGAATACCCTGGCTCAAGCCGCTTCCCAGGCGGCGGCCACGGCTCAAGCGGCTCTGGTGGGCAAGCAAGTGGTTCTCCAGGAGTTGGAGCAGCAGGCAGCCGAAGCACAGAAATCCCTCTCCCGAGAACTGGAGCAACTGAAGGCGGCCAAGATCTCCTCCAGACTGGCCCAGCAAACGGCCCAGGCGGCGCATCATCACATATCTGTGCTTACGGCTGCCGTAAATAATGCAAAATCCGTGGCCGACCAGGCGGAGCAGACCTCCACGGAGGTGAACAACCAACTGGCATCGCAATCCCAAATGGTGGGTCAGTCCAAGAACCGGTTGGAGCAGGTGGAGGAGCAGTTGCACCAGGCGCGAGTTGACTACGCGGCCACCAAGGAGTCCGCTTTGAAGGCGGCCAATTCAGCGGCTGCTGCCCAGGTGAATGCCTCCAAGGCGGCCCAGCATGCCACGATTGGATTGCATGAGAGCACCAATCCCTCGGCCCATGGACACGATGGTCAGGAGCTGGGGGGAGAGGAAGAGTCCTACGACGAGCACCTGGATCCCAGCGGAGGAGGAGGAGTGGGCCACACGGCCGTGGGGGAAGAGCTAGGCGAACACGTCCACACTCCCTATTAATGAAGCATTAGCAATCCAATGTTACATTGGATTAAAAGTGGTTGAAAAACGAGTTACTCTGAACTAAGTTTAGTTGAAAATATTATTTATGTAAATAAAATAAAATTAAATTCAAGTCAGACTAAAGTGGCTGTGAGTTGTAAGCACATTAAAATGTATAAGCACTTATGGTTTTCTATTGTTTCTTAAATATTTAATAATTTATATGGTGTTTTCAGAAAAAGAAACTATGGTAAGAAGGCCTAATATTCTTCTAAATGTATTTACATATTTTTTCTATTTCAAATTAGTTTTAATGACCTATTTGGCGCGAAGTATTGCCAACATAAAAAATCGCTTGCCTTAACAGCACTGTTAACTCTCAAAAACGCTGTTAAAGCAGCCGGCACAGCTGTTCGATTTCCCGGTGAATGGCAACCGCACTGTTTTTCTAATTTTTACCTTAAAATTCAATTAAAACTAGTTAAATAACCCGATAAAATGGCCCAAAAGGTGATCAAGTACATCGGTCGCACCACGGACTTCCGCGGCAACACGTTGTGGGAGCTGGTCTCCGAGCTACCCAACTGGGGTGTGGGCCGCCTGCTCATACGTAACATGTTTCAGCGATATCCGGAGCCCTGCTACATGCGGATTTTGAAGGTGCAATCGGTGGACGAGCAGCCCGGGGAGATCCGCAAGGTGCGGGTCACCGTGGAGAAGACCTGGCGCGGAGTAACCCAGCCAAAGCCCGTGGAGATCTACAGCACCAGCTACAAGGCGGACTACGAGCTGGTGCCCCAGGAGCAGGAGGCCAAGTACCTGGAAAACAAGAAGAAGCTTGAACCTGTGGTGCTGCCCACCAAGATTGACCTTCCACCTCTGCTCCGCGAGCTGGTATCGGAGGAAACGGGCAATCCCAATCCCCAGATGAAGGTCCACTACAAACTAACCCACAACAAACTGGCCAGATTGGCCAAGGATGGTGAGAAACCCACCATTAACTTCGAACTGGGCCTGGGACAGCCGAAGCCCGTAAGCGCCAAGCTTTACGAGGGAATTTTATAAGCCTGGTACTTTGTTAAAATATTAAATACATATATTATACACTTAAACATAAGAACATACGATTTGTACACTATTTATACAAGGGTTCGACTATGGAATGGAATACAGTGTTTAAGAAGACCGGATTTTACTTGCTACCCATCTCTAGGGATCGTAGTTTCCTCGTGAGATTGTCCACTTCAATACCCAACACATCGAGGTTCTCCTTCAGCGTGATATTCTTCAGCAGCGTGTCCTCCAGTACAGTTTGCAACTTCTTGTTGATCTCCAGGGAGAGTTCCAAGGACATGGCCTTGCTTTCGCCGCCCGCCTTCGAGGATCCACCATAAATCGCCGCCATGATGCCATTTCCGTACTTGACCAGCTCGCTCTTGTTCTGATCGCTGCGCGACGTTGTCAATGCGCCGGCGGTCTGATCCCTGAGCATGTAGTGCTGCACCACCTTGGATTTCTTCTGTACCTCGGCTACCAGAGCGGCTGTGTGATTTTCCAGGAACTCGATGCGCTCCGTTTGGCGGGCCGTGGCCTGCTGAAGACGCAGAATCCGCTCCACGAGTACTTTTTTGGACGGTACCGCTTGCAGGTCTTGCTGCGGTGGCGGCTGTTGCACAGTGGTGGCACTACTGGCCACCGTTTCCGATTCGGAGGATTCGCTGGCCCGCCGACTGCCGCTGTGCAGGCTGCCGTGGCTGCTGGAGCGACTGTGAGTGCGCTGCGGAGGATTCTCTGCGGGGTAGCCATTGATCGCTTGCTGACAATTGCTGCAGTAGCTGATGGGAGTCTTAGATTCCGTAACTCCCCTTTTGTACTTGTTCAGCTCCCGATGAAGCTCTTTCAGCACGGTTGCATGCTTGTGCTGAGTGGCCTCGTAGTCGCCTTGGACATCCTCCAGCTTCTGCTTGGTTAGTTCGTACAACTTGGTCTTTTCAGATAAATGCTTGGCCAATAGCAGTCGCTCCTCGCTCTTCTCGGACGCCTCCAAACTAAGCTGCTGCTCCAGTTGATTGTACTTGGAGTCGTACGAAAGCTTCTCCTGCTTCAGTAACTTGTTTTCAGCATCCAGTCCTTGGGCCTGCCAAATAAAAAAGATACATGGGTTCTGATTATAATGGATCCTTAAACTGCTTCCTTTCAAAGGCTTCTGCTATTGGCTTTTATAGGGTCTTCTTAAAATGCGGGTTACACATGGCCTCGGTGGCGCAGTTGGCAGCGCGTAAGTCTCATAATCTTAAGGTCGTGAGTTCGAGCCTCACCCGGGGCATGTATAATTTTTTATAAAATCTTTTTTGTTTTTATTTCCACTCACCTTGGCCTCCGCCAAACAAATGTCATTCTGCAGTTGCACAATTAGCTCACTCATCTCCTTGTTTATAGTAAGCAGCTCCTGTTTCTTAACTTTCAGTTGCTTCAGGTCCGATTCGTTGTCTTGGGCCAAGGCCTCCAGTTGTTGGACTCGCTGTTGTTCCTCCGAAAGCTTTTCTTCGTTTCTGGAAAGGAAATATAAATAATTACTAAAAGGTAAATTTTAAAGTCGTTTTAAAATAGTTAAATTTAGAATGGACCCTCTTCAGGCCCTCATCAGGAAAATTTGTGATTATTACTTACATGGTGTTTTGTGTACGTAGAAGCTGGAGTTCTTCTAGTTGACCCCTGAGTTTTGCAGAGTTTAGTAGCTCATTGCTGTAGGAAGCTTCTACGGAATTATGTAGATCTCTTAAACGATTAAATTCCTCTGTAAGTTGGTTGTGCTGCAAGGAAACCGGATCAGAAAACATTAAATACCTATAACAATACATAAAGAACTTGACTTTACCTCTGTGGTAATCTCCTGAAGTTGATGTTGCAATTCCTTGTTGGTTTCGCTTAGTTTTAGCTGCTCCTTGGTGACTTTATCCAGAGCCTCAGTCTTGCTGGTAATCTCGTGTTTCAAGAGTATTGTGTTGGCTTCAAATTCCATCTTTAGCTTTTCTGTAAGTGGAGGATAGTGGTAAATGTTAAAACTTTATCCGTGGGAACAACAAACCCACCATTGGCCTTTTCCTCCATCTTATTGGGGGCATTCTTCTCTTCTTCCAGTTTGCGCTCGACAACCTTTAAAGGACATAAAGATGAATAAATGAGGATAACACTTAGTTAATCGTCACTTACCGCCTTGGCCTCTGTTTCGATGTTGAGTTTGTTGATGTGATACTTCAGCTTAGACTCCAAGTGACCCAGTTCCGTTTTGTACTTTTCGCACTCCCGCTGATACTTCCTGACTTCGTTGCACTGATAAGACCAAGATAAAATGTTATGATAAGAGGTTATTTATCTATACAGGCATTTTGTGATGGCAGATTGATGAACCCACCTTCTCATCGATGATGTACGTCATGCGGGACTTCTCCTCGCTCACAGCCAGGAATCTGGTGGACACATTCTTGACCTCCTTCTTGGCCTCGGCCAGCTGCTTCTCCACCGCCTCTTTCTCCTTCTTGGCGTCGATGAGTAGCTTCTCCTTCATGGCAAACTTGATGACGGTGGCTTCCTTTTCCCTATTGGCCGTGTCCATTTCCTTGCGGCAGGCCTGTTTCTCCTTACCGAGAATGGCGTTCTCCCGCTGTATGAGTGTGATCATGTTGTCCTTTTGGATGTTGGAGGTGCGTAGTTGATCCAGTTGCTGTTCGTAGTTTCGCCGCTGCTCCTCCAACTGGGCCAGACAATGGACATGGGACAATATGTCATTTTGCGGGGGTTTCGAAGTATTCTGCTGGAGTTCCTCCTCAACTTCCTGGGCCTGCAGATCCTTGTAACGCAGGCTGAGTCCTTCCTCTTCAATTGGCACTTGCTCGAGCACGGCTGCCTTGAGATCCTGCTCCATTTTGGCCTCATCTTGGTCCGCTAATTGGCCTTCAGGAGGCTCACTTTGTGAATCGCTTTCTTCCAGCTGCTGTTCAATAAAATCCGTTTTCTGTTCCACGTCTTCACTTGTTTTCTCCTCGACATGGCCCAAATCCCGGCTTGAATCTCCATTTTCCACCTTGGCCGGACTCTCCACCTCAGCCGGCTTTGTTGCCTGAGCTGGTTCCATAGTTTCTTTGGGTTATTTTATCATTTATTCAAATTTTACAAAAGAAATTCGCGTACTTTTGCTATACAACAAAAGTTTTGATATTTGCAAAGCAGCTGTTAATTTAGAAGAGTTGGCAGTCCCGATTGTCTAAAGTGACCACATTTTAAAATACATTTTTCTATTAAGCAAAATCGGGCACACTGCTGTTTGTTTACAAAATTGTTAATATTTTTAACACATTTATATTATGGTTTGCGCTTTAGGCATTGAAGGCAGTGCCAATAAAATTGGCATAGGCATAATTCGGGATGGTGAAGTTCTGGCTAATGTGCGCAGAACGTACATAACCCCACCAGGAGAAGGTATTTCGGTGACTCTAAGCAACCGGCTTTTTTGAGATTTCATCATAATGGTCTATTCAACAGGTTTCCTGCCCAAGGAAACGGCCAAACATCACAGGGAAGCCATCCTGGGCTTAATCAGGGCCAGCTTAAAAGAGGCAGAGCTGGAACCCAAAGATCTGGATGTTATATGCTACACAAAAGGCCCAGGAATGGCTCCTCCTCTGCTGGTGGGAGCCATTGTGGCCCGCACGTTGTCGCTTTTGTGGGACATTCCCCTCCTGGGCGTGAATCACTGCATCGGCCACATCGAAATGGGTCGCCTTATTACCGGCGCCCAGAATCCCATTGTACTATATGTGAGCGGCGGAAATACCCAGGTGATTGCCTACTCCAATCAGCGATATCGCATCTTTGGCGAAACCATAGACATTGCCGTGGGCAATTGTCTGGATCGATTTGCCCGCATCATCAAACTGTCCAACGATCCCAGTCCAGGCTACAACATAGAGCAGCTGGCCAAGCTGAGCAATCGTTATATCAAACTACCCTATGTGGTCAAAGGCATGGATGTAAGCTTTTCGGGTATTTTATCCTACATCGAGGACCTGGCTGAGCCGGGCAGGAGGCAAAATAAGAGAAAGAAGCCACAGGAGGAAGAGATCATTAACTATAGCCAAGCCGATCTTTGCTACTCGCTGCAGGAGACCATCTTCGCCATGCTGGTGGAAATCACAGAACGCGCCATGGCCCACTGTGGCTCCAATGAGGTAAGCTAGAAGTCCCTTTTCTCCGTATTCGCCTGTAGCTAACCGAATTCCTTTTGCCAGGTTCTCATTGTGGGAGGCGTGGGCTGCAATGAGCGGCTGCAGGAAATGATGCGTATTATGTGCGAGGAGCGTGGCGGCAAACTCTTTGCCACTGATGAACGTTACTGCATAGATAACGGGCTGATGATTGCCCACGCCGGTGCAGAAATGTTCCGCTCTGGCACCAGAATGCCCCTGGAAGAGGCCTTTGTGACCCAGCGATTCCGAACGGACGAGGTGCTGGTCAGCTGGCGAGAGGACTAATCACAGAAAGGACTTATAAATGTGCTTCGTTTGTTTATTAAATAACTAATTTCCATGTTCAGATTTGTATAATATGTTTAGGATATGGGGGACTATCCCCGCTTACAGGGCCTGCTCCTTGCCCGTCCACTGGGGCTTCATTTCCAACGGAAACACGCGCTTGCCCTCGATGACGTAGACAGCTCCGTTCTTATCCTTCTCCAGGACATTCAGAATGCAGCGAGAGACATCGGCGGCACTCTGCTTGTTCAGCCTATCCAGGATCCTATAGGTCTCGTCACTTGTCTCCGGAAAGATGATCTTTTCCGTAAAGTTGGTAAACATATCCGTCATCGTGGCTCCAGGACAGACAGTCACAAACTTGATGCCAGAACGCTGATAATACTTTTCATTCTGGAGGAGAGAGGAAGCTTAATATAAAACTGTATTCGACAAATAACAAAATGTCTCTTGTTACCGCCAAGCAGCGAGTAAAGTTGATGATGCCCGCCTTGGTGGCTCCGTAAACGGGAATAATGAACATCGGATCCAGACCCACCACCGAGCTCATGTTGACCACAATGCCGCCCTTGCCGCCATTATCCTTTCCCATGTAGGGCAGGGCGCTCAACGTGGAGTTGATGATGCCCCCGAGATTCACCAGCAGAGTCCTCTGCACATCCTTGTCATTGAAAATGCCAGCAACATTGACCACAATGTCGATGTTGCCGAAGGTCTTGGCAATCTCCTCGTAGGTGGCTTCCACACCCTTTTTGTTGGCCACATCCATCTTGACAATCATCACGCTCTGCGTGGGATGAGCGGCTCGAAGTTTGACAAATTCCTCTAGGTTATCCTGTAGATCGATGATGGCCACCTTCTGGGAAACGAAGGTTACAGATATAGCTTTATACAGAGCTGTTTAAATACCCACCGCTGCTCCGGCGGCCAGGAGCTGCTTGGACACCTGCAGACCAATTCCTCCAGCTCCGCCGGTCACCACTGCATTCTTGCCGCGAAAGGACATCTTGGTCTGGCTGATATTTGTAGTAGTCGGGTGTATTCCTTGGGGCTTCATCAAGCTCAGAGCTCCTCAGTTGCACTGCTGACTTGGAATAGCATTGTTCGTCGCTTTTATAGTAATTATCCGAGGGTTATATGATATATCTTTGAGTGACTTTGGATCGGCTGCAATCAATAGCTAGTTTTCCACCTGCTCTGGGTTAGGATTATGCAAGCTCATGCCGCCATATCGATTTCCATCGTCTTCTGGTCGCTCTAGCGTTCAGTCTGCTTCACACCGCTCTGGTTTTCGCGACGTCAGCTTTGCATCAATGATAATGTCATTCTAGAGATAAAGCAATGATCTCTTAATAACATTCTTCCAATGAGGTCTTCTCAGCATTCAACGGGATAGAGCTTGCTTAGAAAATATTAATTAAGGAAGGAAGTAAAATCCTTTCTTATAGTGATTTCTATCCAATAAAAAAGATATCAATATAAATATTTTTAAATTCTTTTATTCAAGCAAAATTCTTATGAGAACATAACATGTGTATGTCGTATATCTTTGGTTTCTATATATGATATTTAAATTTCGTTCACAAATTGCAATATTAAAAGTTTATCTCTTATCTTAGGTCTAGCAAACATGGATTCGAATACCATGAAATATATATAAATTTGATTGGGATTTGCTTTTGAACTTTTTTGGGCCGCTTCAGAGTTTTACGTATCGAAGGAGAACGCAAGGAAACCATAATAATAGAAATCAAAAACGAAATCAAAATATATCAATTTATTTGTAAGCACTTAAATTATCACAAACTTAGATTATGTACACAAAGATAAATTATTGCAGCTACCAAACGAAATGGGAGACATTAACTAAGGAAACACAAAAGTTAGAAAGACAGTTTTAAGAGAGGGTGGGCGGACGTAAACGGTGGATTCCCCATTTAGTGGGCGGTATCGTAGGTGTCCTTGTGCTGGTAGCCACTCACATAGCCGGAACCATCGACAACATTCCGTCTGCCGGCGATACCCTTGCCCTTTCCGGTGGCATCGAAGCGCTCCTTGTGGGAACCAGTGTACTTGCTGGTATCCGTCAGTCGATCCACAGCAGCTGCTGCTTTTCCAGCCTAAAACAAATTTGAAAGAAAAATTAGTTTGGGTTCCATAAATCTGAATATAAAATATATAAATTGATGACTACATATTTTGATCACTAAGCATTTAAATTTAAGAATTCGTTTTGATAAAAAAAATTAATTGCTAGCGAGGCTACGGTCCTCTCTCTTTTCCCTATATGTTTGTAACATGTCATAAATAACATTTAAATACTGGGACTTTATGGAATCAGCAGGATTTAAAGCTGACTTTAAGTCCAATATTTTTTTAATTTAGATTTTAGAAACCCACCGAAACAGAAACAACTCCTGGAGCTCCACAGCCTGCCAACTTCTGCTTGATCTCCGACAGCTCCACCTTTTTCGTCTTGGCGAGATCCTCCAGGAATTTGTTGTAGTCACTGAGTGAGATCTTCATGGCCTTGAACTTCTTGAAGTGGATGCCCGTATCCGTGGTGGTAATCTTCTTGTCGATAACCTTGGCCTGCTTCATCCACTTGTCACTCTGCGAGAGCGTGATCAGCTTGCCATCGGACTTGCAGTCCCCGAACTTGGAGAAGGCCTTGAACTGATCCGAGAAGCTAACCTTGGGCTCATCCTCCAGAGCCAATTGGGCCAACTCGGCCGCGGGAACCTCAGGGGTGGGAGCTGGAGAGGGGCTTCCATTAGCTGCTGCTGCCTCGGACATGATGGATCTGTCAAATATTCGGAATTGAGGCCATTATTATAGATGTTATAGATTTCCAGGTAAAAAGGATTAAGTTTATCCACCATTTTTGAAGAAATATTATTAGGGACCCTTAAGGCTTTTAGTACTTAATACGCAATTACACAATGTCCAAAATTTCTCCCTTTGATGGGTTGAAATGAGGGTCATTAAAGTTGATATTATGCATAGCCTGATAGGTCAGTTTTCCTTTTACAACTTTGTTGTGGTCCCTGCTATCACGCAATGTTTCCTAAGCATTAAATCACCTACGCATTTGCTCACCTGTGGGCCACAACGCTCACCAACATTTTGGTGGGTCTTTTCTGTCTTCCTCAACTAACGAGGTTCTATCCCATACGTAGCTCTACGAGAAGCTTATCTGTATTTTACTCAATACCCTTTCGCAACGCTATCAGAGTTTATACTGGACAATAACACAGCTTTACCCACCCAAAGCTCTCTCAGATGATTTTTGAGAGGTATACAAGCAAAGGAAAATTTGGGAGAGATCTAATAATGGAATGGCGTCATCTGTTTGGTTCCCCGTCCCCTAACGAAGCCAATTATCGTCTTTTTGCAAAACCCAAATAAACAAAAACATATAGTCAACAGGTTTGACTCACCTAGGTTTCTCTATGGGGGTCAGAACTTAGCGGTAGCTTGCGAGATCTATTATGATAAGTTTTTAACATACAGTTACCATAGCTTTAGATTGGCTGGAGGCACATTGCTTTAAGTTTAACATAAATCACGACTCTGGCTTTAAGAATTAACAAATTCTTGACTCTAACAACCAAAAATTAATAATAATAATAAAAATCAATAAAACTATGGTTACAGCATACATCGAGAAAATTGTTTAAAAATAAACGTTTACCACACTTCCAAAAAAAAGTATTTTATTTATTTATCTTAAGTTTTCCTACCCATTCCCAAAAATACCTTACTTAATTTGTTACCCATCGAACGTGGCATAAATTAGGATGATAATTTAGTTTTAAAATTGCTTGTAGCATAAATTGTCCCCGTGTTTACAGGCTACCCAACACGAAGTCGAAAAGGTATTGTATGCCAGAGCAACCGAATCCTCATCCTTCCATAAACAGTAAATAAAACGTGAGCATTTATTGGCGGGGCCATTAATTACGCACCACTTAAGGCTGGAAGTTAAAGCCCCAGGAGAGATGGAAGCTGTTTGGGGAACCATTTAAGGGGGCGATAAGATTGGGACTGCAACCAGTTTGGAGTCCTCTATCCGTGAGTTATGATGCTGTGGCTTGTGCCTGGACAGATGTTAACAAATCGAAATGGAAGGGGGTATGGGTATGGGTATGCAGCACTCGCCATGACCTTGATGCAGGCCGTCGAGCATGTCAAATACTATATCTATATACCAACCCCAAGCCCCATTCGCTACCCAAATCGAAAAATGAGTGAATCGAGTCACTGCTTATGTCATCGCCTCATTACGCCGGCTCTTGATTACGCTGCTTTGGGATCAGCTTTAAATAGCTCTGGGGTGAGGCAATTTCATAGCCCATATTACCCAGATAATCCATCGAAATCATGTTTTAAACCAACTGCTTAATTGAGAGCATTGCATGCATCTTAAGACCGCCTGTCATTAATCATCTCAATGGTCCAAGACCAAGGTTGTTGAACTTGAACTCCGCTCAAGACGAAACAAATTACCGAACCCGTCCCCGGAGATTACTAATGGAACCCTTTACTCCGCCCTTACTTGTAATTGGAACCCATAAATACTGAGAAACAAGAAAAGTTGACAAACTACACGACAAAAGAAGTTGGAATATGCAAGAAGAGCTTTAAGATTTTTAAAAACTGAAGCAAAACGACGAAGGAATACGCTATATGTGGGTAGAAATATTGTAACCTTTTGGTATTTTAAAAAGATATTTCCTTCAAAAACTATAGTTTTCCTTTTTTGGTTTTGTATTTAAAATAGAAAATTTACTGATAGCCATAAGAAAAAATTTCTTAAGAGAATATATGTATGATCCATTATAATAAGTTAAGAATCTATAATCCATTTAAATACAAAACGGACGTAATAAATTATTACAATTGAAACCGGAAACAACAATATTAAGATTTTTTTAAGATAATCACAGGATGTGTTGAACATATTTGGATTCTATATATTAAATAGACTCATTTTTAATATTCTTTGACAACTCAAAGCCAAGAGATCCCTCGCGAAAAAGACCGCAGAAAATAAGGCAGTCTGATGGGGAGTGTGGATAGTCTAAATCAGAAATAATCCGCTTTGGCTGTCAGACCATAAATAATTCGCTTCTTCTCATTTCCCATCTCTGTTTTGGTTTCTTTCTCTGTATTTCGCTGATCAGGGGAACAAGTTCTCATCCAGCTCCAGTCGAGCATTGCGAATTCGTTGCCAACATTTTAATTAGTTTTTAACCAAAATGGTAAAAGTTAATTGGGAATATTTATGGACTGAATTTGAATAGGAATATGAATGGGTTACAGATAGCCATGTGTAGAACAGAATGGACTTCCTGGAGAGGGGCCGAGTGGGAGGTCGCAATTGTTAGCCCAACCTACCTCAAGTGGGCTGAAGAACAAATAGATGATGAAGGGAAAATTGGGTCATCTCGGTGTATATTTATAAATAAAACATCGGTGGGGGGTAGGGAGAAACATGAAATACTGCACCAGATATGAGTTTACGTGTGTATATAAACATTCTGAAATTTTAGCGCCTCGGACTGAATGCATAAATTAAAATAAACTTTTTTGCTGGGGCGAAACAGGAAGCAAAGGGGGTTTTGATACAGCACGCAACGCAATAGAGGAATCATTGACTTAGGGGACTTATGCTCTAGGCATAATATATGTATGTAATATATTCCTACATCACCACTAGTCCAGATGACATCACTGGGAGCTGGGAAACGCGCAAGCGCCAGTTTGGAGAAGGGGTTTCTGGGGCCTGGGGGTTCTTGAATTTCAGACTGATGATTTAAACACACGCATATATACACACGGAAGCGGGGAAACTGCGCCTAAAACCAGACCTCCAAACGGAAATTGAAAACAATGATGTCCCAGGAACAATAGAAAAAGGGGAACGCGATTGGCGGTAACTGGGTCAGAATTTGCTCTTGAAATCCTAAGCAGCTTTTTCTTTAAACGAGAAAAATAACCTTGGTTTCTATCTTTTTTAAGTTCCAGGATACACCAAGTCTTTTAAATTAAAAAAAAAACTTGCTTTCTGATATTTCTTGAAACCTTTTAACTTACATTTGTTTTTAAAAATGTACCAAAGCTCTTGAATAAATTTCCAAAAATTGTTTCTTGTATTCCTTGGATATTTTCCAACTACTTTAAGGCAAGCGCGCGAATGCTGGCGATGTCGAAACTCAACTGTTTGGACAAATGCGCAGCCACTGGCTAGCAAAGGCCCAAGTGGCGTATGAGTGATATTTTTGTTTTGAGTGAGCTTTCGTTGAGTGAAATAAAAGCAACAAAAGGCCAGAAAATCCTCTACAACATTTTGTCAAAACGAAAGACGGCAAAACAAACCATGAGCAAACATAAATTCCTAATTTTCTGAATGTGATAAAGAAAAAGATTGGATTTTATACACACTTATACTGACCCCTAAAATTTTTTTCAAGCGATGACTTCATTTTGCAAAATTTTATTCACCGAAACTAACAGCGAAAGCCACACGACCAAGCGATTTATCAAAAAGAAAAAAACGAGACCCAAAAACAACTCAGAATAACAAAAGTGACGTTAGGCCCCAAAGTCTTATCAAACCAACAAGTTCCACTCGAAATTGGGTTTGTTGTGAGTGTAGTTCTGGAAGAAAAAGCTTAAAGCTTTTCCTGAATTTATTTAGTAGAAGGGGAAGGGGTTCGCTACATAGTCTGAGGTTGTAAAACAGTCAATTTGTATGTGTCCACCGCCAAAAGCAGAAAACGATGCGTGAAATTTTTGAGAAAAACACGCACAACAAGTGCCAGACAATTGGAATAATGAGGGGGGTCTTTGGGGAGGGGTTACTGGGAGGTGTTTTTGGGGTGTGACTAGGGCCTTACTAAGCAGTGAGCTCATGCCAAGGTATGCAAATGAGTTTTTGTTTCGAGTATTTCAAGCGATTAAGATTTGGTAATCGCCCTACTTGGTAAATGGGTTTTTTGAACTCCTCTATTTTGGGCAATCAGGAAAAAGTAAAAGTCAAAAGGAAATTATAAGGAAATTGCTTCGCACATAATAAAATGATTTAACAAAGTCCCCAGCCCAAAGCCCAAAACAAACCTTAAACGAAAGAAAAAAACCTTTGACATTGATTTATGGGAACTGACTGTCAGAATTATTTGGTTAGTTTCGTGGCCAACACGATGAAGTCATAGCCCTGGCCCAAAAACAAAATACGAAGTGAACGAAAGACTAACTTGGCCAACTTGGGAACTCTAGCACCCTCAGGAGACTTTAAATTAAGTCTCAAAATCATGCACAAAGTAACATTTTTTGTAAACTTACCTAGTTATTTCAAATAACTTTTCAAAGATTGATTAATGATGATATTTAGGATATTTGTAAAAATTCATTAAGATAGATATAATGTAGACTAAGGAAATGGATATCATATTATTTTATAATATATTTCAAAGAGAGTAATAATCTGACATTATCAGTCTCAAAAGCAATGTTTTTTTTTGCTTACGTTGCTCTTTGTTTATTTTTATCCAATTAAATTATTTTCATATATTTTACTTTCAAAACAAATCTTTATACCATAATAAATATCTTTCTTACACCCAATGTTTCCCCATCCACTTAAAATGCATTCCAAATTTAAAAAGAGATCCAATAAATTTTAGACCCTGCTCATTAAGCTCTCTTTCAAGGGCACAAAAACAGAGTCCACCAAGGCCTGATAAATACGAACAAGAGTCTTGCCACCTGGCCTATCTTTAGTGCACCTCTAATTAGCCACGAAGTGAGAGGCAGTCCAAAGACCCGATGATGGTTCACAAATCAGTGCACAACAGCCCACGCCGTGAGGAACGAGGAATAGGAATGGCATCAGGTAAACCAGACCAGATTGCCAATCCATTTTCAATTCCGGCGCAGAACTAACGAGATCATTAAGGCTGGCAGGAATGGCGAGAATTGGGCTTTGATTGAAACTAAGTGCCAACGGGGCTAACATTAAAACGCACTTATCAGCCGGGCCTTCAAGGCCAATGTGGTTCTTGCAGCTGTCCCTCCTCCTAATCGGGAGCGAAGTTTAAGCACCACCGATCTGCGGCATCCGATAAAGCCGATGCTAAAAATAAAACCCCAGCGAAGGAGGAGCAGGAGATACCAATGCAGCTGCAGAAGCCCCATGGGCGGTTGCAAAGCATATTTTTAGGGGGGACTTTGTTTAGTAACTTTTAGTAATGAGTGGTGTCTACATATAATTATTAAAAAAACAACATCATATTCACAAAAAAGGTAATTTAGAGTAAATTCTAGCAAATAGTCCTTAAAATATTAAATGTTTTATATCTAATCCTATTCAAATATATTCCAAAATAGTATAGATATTATTTTTACAAAATATTTTTGATATTTTGATTAAATATTTGCTACTGAATACTTTTAGGATTATAGAATTTATCAAAAAACACGTTTATTAATTTTAGAAATATGATAACAAAAATTATTAAAAACCCCCTTTTCTGCCCGCCACTGCGGCGCATGACTCCCGTGTCCAAGTTGTGGCCAAATGTGGCCCTTGGCCTTCACTCACCTTGAGATGCCGTTGCTGTCGTCGTCGGTTGTTGCCACAGTTGTTGCCGTTGTTGTCGTGGCCCCGTTGCAATGTTCGGACAAAAAGGGAGGCTGAGATGCCACAATGCCCTGGCAGCAACAACAATTGCATATCAATTACACGCTGGGCTGGATGCGGTCTTTGGCCTTGATGGTCCACCCAGCCAAGGCCCTTGATTCGGTTGCAGATGCAGATGGAAATGGAGATGGAGATGCCAGGCAGCGATTGCTCCTCGAGCGGAGGAGCTGTCTCCGCCTCTGCATCTCCATCTGCATCGGCCTCCCTCATTTGAGCCCACTCCAGCCTTGGCCACAATTAAACCAAATTGACACCGCCTTCTCGAGGAGGCGATCCCCAAAAAGGGGGAGGGCGGAGCTGCAATGTCCGTTAACGACACAAGTGGACAAGACAACGCGATCGCCTCGTTTGCATTGAAGTGCATCTGATGGATACATTTGGAAAAAACTTTTAAATTAAAATAAGTATCAGCACAAATTAATAGTTTTTAAAACTTCACTTATGGGAAATATGATTATAAGTTTATCTATCTTTGTATTAAAAAGTTACAGTTCTTTAAAAAATATATACAATTTTTAAAATTAAATTAACAAATATATAATATCTCAGAAATATTAAAGGCAACCACTATTTATTTAAAAGGTACAAATATTGCTCGTTCCCGAAAATATTATTTTTGTGGTTTTACAAGTTTTCTAAAAAAAATTTAAATAGTTTTCTTAATAATTTTAAAATTATTTTAAATTCTTATATTCTAAGGTGAATAGACTAAAATAAAGTTTGGTTCTTTTGTTATTTGTTTAATTTCACATATTTTTTTTCCGAGTGTAGAAGAATTACTATTCTTCAGCAGGAGCTGGACGCCAAGAACCTCAGCCTAAACCAGACCTAGAATCTGGAACTCGCCCAAGAACCTGAGTATAAAAGGATGAGAACTGAGGCCCAGAACCAACAGTTACCAGTGAACTTAAGAACAGGAATCACCTGCAGGAATCTCCCATCGCCATGAAGTATCTTCTGTTATTAGGCAGCCTGAGTTTGGCCCACGGTCTGGCCTTGTACTATCCCTACGTATACACCGCCGAGGGATCCGCCGTGTTTACGCCCACCCAGCGGCAGTATATCGCCAAGGATCAGTTGGGTCAGTACTCGTATGGCTATTCGGAACCTTTGTCCAGCAAACAGGAGACGCACACCCTGGACGGCGTCACCCAGGGGAGCTATAGCTACCAGGATGCGGCGGGAAAATACCAAACGGTTAGATATGTGGCCGATGCCGATGGTTTCCATGTGGCAGCCACCAATCTGCCCAAGGCCATAGTACCCCAGGAGTCGCTCGGATTTGGTCCCAGAAGTGCATCGCATCCGGTTCAACATCCCGTCGAGCATCCCGTGGTGGGATCACATCCAGTAATCCCACATCCTGTTGGCCAACATCCCGTTGAGGTGCCACATCACCCCACTCCGGTGGAGAGCGGCCGAAGTGCTCAGCCAGAGGGACACCAGCATCCAGTGGAGCATCATGAGCACTCCATTATCGGCTCATCCGTGGCCGGATCACCTGGTGGCCATGTCCAACTGCCTCATCCCGTGAGTGACACCGTAGAAGTGGCTGCTGCCAAATCTCTTCACCTGAAACGCGTCGAGGATGAAGCGGTGCGCAACCAGGTGCTGGGCAAGGTGCCCGTTTCAGTGGCCCGCAGCCACCACGTGGTCGTTCCAGCTCCTGTCTACGGGTACACCATCCCTCGGTACTACACCCCTGGTTTCTACTATTGATGGAGGGCAATCATCCTGGCCCGATTTGGTTCATCATTCAAGAGTTTCGAATTTAAAATAAAAATTGTCAATCAGTCTCGAGAGTTTTCTTTGGGTTTTTTATGGATCTTGTTTGGAAATTTATTATAGAACCTAAATATATCGAATGCGTTAATAAGAGTTCTACTCAAATTAACCCAAAGGCAAGACCTGCTTAAATCAGTTTAAAATATTTTTTTTAATTATTTATTAAAGGTGGTATTAGGATCTTGAGTAAACCATCATCAAGTTGCCTTTACATGAAGACAAAAATCCTGTTAAACTTAACCCTTTGGCAGCTTAACCCCAGGACCGGAACCCGCTCACTCGGACCCTGTCCTACCTCAACCTTTTGGCCCAGTCCAACCCCTCACATACCAAACATACAGCATAAACTCTTCATAAATGTAAGGCGAATTTTGATTTCAATTAAATTTAATAGCAGCATAAACAACCGCAAAGGCAACAACCGAAATAACTGAAACTGGAAGGGGTAGACGGCATATCGAATAGCCCAACCCGGTTCCTTGACCCCTCTTCGAAGATGCCAGGCTTACACTGAGAGAAATAGATGTTCAATAAACCTTAAAAATGACTATGAAAGATTTAACTTTGTAGGGACTATTTTAAAGGATTGTAGTGGCTTATTTTATTGTTACTCCAAATTTTTCGAACTAAATTTGAAATATCTTTTAATTTTACAAAAAAAAGTATATATAGTCAACGTTTTAAGCGAGGTTCTCTTCAGCACTGTAGACTTCTTAGCTTTCAACCCTTTTTATAAGAATGAGACACATAACAAAAATGTTATGTCATGCTGAAATCTAATTGATTCGCGTATATTTTCTCCCAGTGCACATCCAGACCCACTGAAAAGTAGCCTGATTAAGTTCTTGCGTTGTGGCATTGCGGAACGTTGTTGGTTGTCTCCGAACATGTCCACATCCGATACGATACAATACGATACGATGCGATGCCATTCGTGTTGCTGCCCCTGCCGCAGATGAAAACAAATTGCGGCTTTTGTGCTCAAATTTATGCTGAACTTGTTGAAATCGAAATCGACAAAGTATTTATGTACGAAAAAGCGAGGAAGCAGAGGAAGAGGAAAAAGGAACAATAATCCAGGCTGGTGGAATATGAAAGTAAAAACCCAACCGGACGACCTTCCTGAGAACGCACGAAATTGCGAATTTTCGGCAGGAGGCGCCGCCTATAAAAGGCAGAATACCCAACCGATCCCAGCACAGAGTTCTCTAGAGCGAGTACTAGTCCACCACACTAGCAGCGCCTTAAAAAGATCCCCAAATAGCCTATATAAAATTAAGCCACGCTTGAGAAGATGCAGTTCCTCAATCTTTGCCTGATTTTAACTACCATCGCATTGGCTGCCGGATCACCCAGCTTGGAGTATGGAGCCCCACCCAGTGCGGATACGATCAGTCAGTATCACACCCAGGATGAGCATGGTCAGTATGCCTATGGCTACATGGCTCCACTGTACTCCAAGCACGAAACCCGCACCCTGGACGGCGTGATCCGGGGCACCTTCTCCCACGTGGATGCCAATGGCGAGACCCAGACCGTGGACTATGTGGCCGATGCCGAGGGCTTCCATGTGACCTCCAGTCTGCCCAACCAGCAGGCCAATCAGGAAACCCCGGAGGTGGCTGCTCTGCGTGCTCAGCATCTGGAAGCCCATAACCAGGCTAAGTTGAGGCTGGCCGGCGACTCCTCCTTTGGTCCCCAGCCTGTTCAGGATACCCCTGAGGTGGCTGCCGCTAAAGTAGCATTCTTCAAGCGTTTTGAAGCCGAGAAGCTGCGCAATCAATTGCTCGCCGAGAAGAAGGTCCTGGTCATAGCACCTCCATCTCCCATTGCCGTTCGTTCCCAGCCTGTTTATGTCTATCAGCCCACCACCGGATTTGTCTACAACTATCACAGCAATGCCAAGGCACAAGTTCCGTCCAGGAACTACCTGCCAGTGGCCTAATCTTGGAACAAGACTTCTTCGAAAAATTCTGTTATTTGTTGAGCAATAAATGATGCAAATTGGAAATTAAAAATTGTATAATATCTGTCTTGAGTTTTATTTTAATCCTTGAACCTAATCTGTTGAGTTTGAAGTTAAGTGAATGCATTTTCTAAGATATTTTAGAAACTGTTCTAGCTGTTTACTAATTGTTTTATTACTTTTCAATTGAATGAAATTAGTACTCACAAAACAAGCTATAATACGATTTTTTTAGGATCACTATTTCCATATTCATCAAGTCATTATATTTGAATTTTACAAAACTTATGATTTAAGATTTTGTTAAAGTAGTTCCAGGCAATGATTTCTAATAAGAACACATGGTTATAATAATATTGTAAGAATAAAAATAAATAATATTATTGAAAAAAAACACAAAAAAATTATCTTAAGTTTAAAAGATACAGTACAATTAAGAAAGAAACTACTTTTCCGGATACTTAAGTGTGTAAAAATGTAAGGTATCCTTTTGTTAGTCTTGATACTCATTTCATCGCAACAAATAGCAAATAAAGACGACATTTGAATTAGGCACAATGGTGCTCTGTCTTGCATTTATTCTTAGGAAACACATCATAGTTACACCCCATTATCTTTCACGATCATTAGCCGGCTTTGATCCATCTCCAAGATCCGTAACGTCAGTCCTTCAGTTGCGTTTGCTGACCAACAAACTGCGACTAAGGGCCACTGGCCGCAGGGTTCTCAGCTCCGTGGGCGTGGTCACACTGTACTTGGTGTTTGGAGAGACCAGAGTGTAGTAGGCACTGATTGGCACCCGGAGATCACTGTTGTCCAAACGATCCTCGAGCAGTTTCTCAGTACTGGCCAAGTCGCCGAGTTTTAGATAGCTTCTGGAGCTGAGATCGGCCAAGGAGTAGATGGTGCGCAGGCGCAGATCATTGGCATCGCGATCGGAAGAGGTCGAGAGTTGAAGAAGCTGCGAGCTTTGACGATCATTCTCCCGGTTGTTGTTCAATTCTCGGAGAGTATCCTGGTTCCGGGACTGATCCTGACGTTCATTTTGACGTTGAGCTAGGCTGGACTCTTGATCCTCTCGCTGCTCTGGTCGCCGATCATCTCGCTGATCTTGTCGTCGCTCTTCTCGCTCGTCCTGACGTTGCTCTTCTCGCTCATCTTGTCGTCGCTCTTCTCGTTGATCTTGACGACTATCCACTCGCTTATCTTGTCGTCGATCCTCCCGTTGATCTGGACGCCGATCTTCTCGCTGATCTGGTCGTCGATCTTCTCGCTGGTCTGGGCGTCGATCTTCTCGCTGATCTTGCCTCAGTTCCTGTCTTAAATCTTGTCTTAGCTCCTGCCGGATATTCTGGTCCCGTCGTAGTTCCTCATCTTCGCGATTCCTGGGCAGATTGATAGATCGCTGGCGATCGGCCAGCATAGCTGAAAGTTCGGCTCGAACTCTGTCCAAGATCGCCGCGTCCTCATCGCTTAGATTTTGCTCCCCTGACTGCTGATCCTCGCCGTTGTTCCTGTTCTGTTCCTGCTGTTGCTTTCTGTCCGCTTCCTCACGTAAGCTGGCAGCCAAAGCCTTCTCCCTGGCTTCCCTCAGGGCATTCAGGTGGGACAGTCGAGCCTGCTGCACATCCTCAGTGTCGGAGACTGGCAACGGAGCCTTTCCCTCGTCCACGGGAGCTTGGGGTTGGTTACTTGCCTCAGCCTTGAAGCCCTGAGCGCCATTGGCCTCATAACGAACCGTCTGCAGTTTACCTTCAGCATCCACATAGGAGTAGAATCCCCGGGAAGTGCCATCTCTGGAGGAGTACTCAGCCCGGGCCGCATTGTCATCACTATAGCCGTAGGAGTAGAAGGCTCTGGCCGTATCCTGCTCCTGGTAGCCACCGCTTGGCCTTTGAGGCAATCCAACAGCTGTACTTAGGGCCAAAAGGCCAGCCAGAATCGTCCAAGTGAAGCAGTGCATCCTCTTCTTCTGATTGCTCTTGTGGAACTGATGCTGCAGTGGCTCATCGATGGGTGTTTTATACCACCTGCGGGTAACTCGAGGCGCCACCCACCACCCAGTCTGCACAATGACCTCGAAATCCGCAAGTCGATCCGCCGCGATCCGATTGGTGTCGATTGCTATTGGGCCCACTGGTTTGCTACCGCACGGATGTTGCAATAGTGAACTTAATATTGAGACACGGATCCATCGGTTGCGCAATTGGGCGACATTTCCATTTCCAAAGATGTGTGCCGCCACGGATGTGGCAACCGCAACCTGGATTTTGGCGGAAAACAAATGGGGGAAGTCGATTTGTTCGCATTTATGGGATAAACATCCATATTCGATTACTAGATGGTCTCAGATGACTCATGGTTCGCTAGTTGACACAGATATATGAAGTGGATATATAGGGAGTAATCTTATGAATTTAAATATGTTATTAAAATGTATCCCTAAAATTACATAAAATGAATATACTTCAAATTGAATGACTACATTTTTATATTATTAAAAAAGTTTTGTAAGCAAGTATTAGTATTACTCATGATAAAATCTTTATGATAATGTAAAAAAACACACAACCTATTTTAATAGTTATAGAGGCTTGATCCAAAAAAGTTTGCAAGTAAACAAAATACAATATCTTTAAATACTTATAGAAGCTTGATCACAACTCTCAGTTCGTGATATCTTTATTATTAAAATGCGCAGTTATCTGATCTATTATCATTGCACAAATGTATACTAATTAGCAGCTCACATCAGTTCTGGTGTTTCAAGATAAGGTCAGTTGACAGTTAACATTGTTAGCTTAGAATTCTAAGAAAGCTCATAAAACAGATTCTATGAGAATTAAAGAAGTTTTTGCTCAGGAGGATGAGATAAATTATACACTTTGTAAAAAAATCTGCACTAAACATGATTAAAATAAGGAAAAAACTAACTAATGATCCGTAATGCAGCGCTTGTTAAGCTTATGAATTAATAATTGGAAGAACATTATGTGCTCTCCGAGAGTAAGATGGGCCAAAAAGCTTCGTTTGGAGCGGAGAACGGAGAGCCATAGCGATAGCGACAGGGTCGTTAGCACTTTTCAGATCGTATGAACAGGGGGTCGAAATCTGGCGAAGATTAGTATATCAATTGCCACCGACTGAATTGCACGGAATCTAGCAGAGCAAATAAGTTTCGAAATTGCAGCATGGACTTGGCCGGCAAAAATGTGGTTTACCTTGGCGGATTCGGCGGCATAGGCCAGAAATGTGTACAAGAACTGCTCCAGCGGCCAATAAAGGTGGGTTGACCAACAATCTACACCCAAACGAAACTCTAATCAATTTTATCATTAGGCGCTGGCCATTTTCGATTTGACTGAGAATGGCCAACTCTTGGCTGATTGGAAAAGCAAAAATCCCAACACGGATATTATCTACCAAAAAGTCGACATCACTCAGAAATCGGATATAGAAGCGGCCTATAAGGTGACCGCTGAGAGATTCGGTCACTTCGATGTGGTGGTTAATGGCAGTGGACTGATGAACGATCGTCTGGTCGAACTTTCCATTCAAATTAATCTGGTGAGGGAATAATGATTAGTTAATGCTTGAAAAGCTTTACAAATGTTTATTTTACTAAAGCTGGGCGTTATAAACAGCACTTTGACCGCTCTGGAGTACATGGACAAGGCAAAGGGTGGTAAGGGTGGACTCATAGTGAATATATCATCGGTGGCTGGACTCGAACCCACTGCTCTAATGGCCATTTACTCGGCGGCCAAGACGGGAGTTACCACTTTTACTAGGGCCATGGCTGTAAGTATGTGGGGGTGAAATATAATAGATTTAATATAATCTATAATCAAAAAAATATTTCAGGCCATTTTAAAACATGTAAAACATTTTAGTTTGAATTTTTAATTAACAAGATTTATTTTAACTATGTTTAGAATCCCATTTACTACGCTCACTCTGGCGTTGGCTTTATAACCATTTGTCCGGGATTCACGGACACTGGACTCCTAGAGGATATTGGTAATAAGACTACATTCACTTACGATACACCCATGCTGGCCATGTTTAACAGGGTGAAGAGACAGACCGCGGAGGATTGCGCCAGGAACTTGGTCCTGGCCATAGAGACAGCCAAAAATGGAGCAGTTCTAATGCTGGAGTTGGGTGAATCCCAGGAGTTGGATATGCCGGTCATGTGGAAGCCCCAGATAGAGAATTAGTTCTGCGTTGTTATTATTTCTAATGTATATGCATTCATATGTAATCTCTTTGAAAAGGTTGGTGATTTAAAAATAAAATTCGATTAAGTTAATCACACCCGTTCTACACTTTAATGAGGAGTCACGGACAGATTGAGCAGATTAGATTTCCTCGAGAAATCATATCAAATGGGTTTGAGAATTCTATTATCATTATTTTATTTAAAATGCATTCTAGTAAACTTTATCCAAATGTTTAAGCAAATATTGTCTTGGCATTCACGTTAGTTAAATGTGAGAAAAAGAAGGGCATATCAAACTTTTAAATAGATTCGTTCAATGACATTTTTCATTATCTTTATGCCACTTGTAAAGACTAAGCTAATTTTATATGATAAACGACTATCTTTTTGAAAGAGAACTTAAAATTTTTATCCTATCTCAAGGAGATTAAATAACCTTTCCATTTTATTAGAAGCTTCTATCAAATTTCTCCGTCCCATATTAGATAACATCAAAAAATGAAGATGAGTTGCTGAGTTTTTATTCGGCAGTTTCTGATCATTTAACAAGGAGACTTGTCGCAAGTTGCTAACAACTGAATTGCACCAAATTAAAAGTTATTTTTTAACATTGGCACATGGATTTGGCAGGCAAAAATGTGGTTTACCTTGGCGGATTTGAAGGCATTGGTCGGAATTGCGTGCAGGAACTGCTGCAGCGGCAAATAAAAGTGAGTTAGCAATTAAACAAGACTTAAAGAAACTCTAATTATTTGTTCTTCAGGCCCTGGCCATATTCGATTTAACTGAGAATGTCAAACTTTTGGATGAGTGAAAAAGTGGAGACTGCCAGAAATGGAGCAGTTCTTATGCTGGAACTGTGTAAAATCCATGAATTAGATATATTTAACCAATGGAACCCCCAGCTGGATGATTAAACATTAAAAAATTCGCTTTAACATGTTACATCATTTAAATGATTGGTTGGATTAATAAATAAAATATACCTCTTGATTAGGGTAATCCATATTTTTCAATACCCAGTAACCCCACATTAACCACACTAACGGATCAGATTGCCGAGCAATCAGAACCATATCAAGTCATATCAAATTAAATTGTAGAATTCGATTAAGTTTGTTTTATTTAATTATCAGGCATACACACACAAAATTGAGTTTGCTTTTACTTTTGTTTTGGTTTTTCGTATCTAACATTTACAATGAATTTTGAAGATAAATATACATATTCAGCACATCCAAGAACATACATTATTGATTAACATTCCACAAAACTAGAAGAGATGTTTGCCTTCGGTATTCCGAAATTTTTCATACCCTAGAAAAGGAATTTAATTGTGATTTTAAAATTCCATTACTATCCAAAGTTTACTTGGGTAATCTGCCGGAAAGCCCAAACAAAATAACAATTTTATGATGAATAATTTCTTGCAAACATAGCTTACATAGTTATATGTTATTATGGTCTGTATCTGGAGTTTCCAAATATCAAGCTGCCAGCAGCGTTAAAATGTGACTAAAAATAATGTTCTGAGTGATATTATAATACGGACTATTGGCTAGCGGATACAAATATGAAATATGATCTATGTAAGAGCTCTTCTTTTCTGGGATATGATTAACATGGACATAGACCCATATTTATTTGGGGGATCTGTTGAAGTAGAAGCACATCCCGCTTGGAGGGGAAGGTTTAGCTTTCCTGAAGAATGCATGTAAAATACAATCTCTGCTTACATAGTTATATGATACAATATACGCCTATCTGATTCATCCTTCCAGTTGTGTGTAGTTTGTGTATTTAGATACATTATTATACTCGTATATAGTTAGTTTCAATTAGCATTTAATATAAAGACATTTGTTCGTTCCCATTGAACTGGGATTAGTTTCGCATGTTAACTGTAAATTTCACATCATCACAATTCAAGGATCTTCAACTTATAAATTACACCAAAAACAGCAACGATTTGTTTTGCAGAGACGGGACCTATGACCTTTCAGGGATCATACTCTTCTGTTGAGCTTCGACTTTGGGTTGTACGGTTAAAATTGAGAGTACTGTATTGTATTGTATTGTCCTCACCATAACACATTTGATGCGCTGAAAGAGAGTCCCTGGCTATCTACTTATTCAATTGCAGTGCAGTTCTATCAAGGATGTTATTGAGTGGTTCGACAAGCGGTCTCCTGGCAGGTTTTAATAGACTTATTGGATCTGAGCTACTGCAAAATCGTCCGTATCTGTATCTATACGACCTTGGTCGTTTAACATCACTAACCCTAAGTTGAGGAACAGAAGCGCCTATTAACCATATCATATTTTACGTTTATCTTATTAAGTTATGCGGATTGTCTGTAACTAGTTGCGTTAACTATAGGATTTCGTATTGTATTCCATTAAATTACCTATCTGGTGGTTGCTATTGGTGTTTTTAGTTCCTTATACTTTGCTGGTGGTTATATTGTTAAGTTTCTTGGTTTCTTTCTTCGCTTTCAACGCTTTGATATGTTTCGCACATTATCTTTCATCTTGAAATTAAAATAATGGTAGAGATAAAACCGAAACAACTAAAAGTTTTGTGAAAATTTATTGGTAAATAAAATAAATAATTTTTTTTGTTGCATATTTTTTCCACTTTGATTAACAGAACTCGAAATTTGCTTAGGGTAGAAACATTGAGTGATAATACCAAAAATACATTTAATTAACATATAGATAAATATATATATATGCATTTAAATAAGTGTGTGTAAATAGAAAATGTCTGTGTGTATGTGTGAATTGCTCGGCACGATCTGAATAAAAAAGAGCCTCGGTCAGTTTTTGAAGTTTTGGAGTTTTGGGGGATTTGGCGGGTTGCTGGACTGATTGTAAATTATAAAGTTACAAAACTCAACTCAACAAATACGTTATTATGAACTGAACCCATTGGGTTTAAGCTATAAAAAAAACTTCACCACAGCCAAAGGAAGGGCGGAGAACGCTAAATCTGGATCTGAATCTGTATCTAGATCGTAATCGGAACTTAAGTACGCAGTTAGTCGCCTCTCCACCCAGCCTTCTTTCTTTTCACATTTCAAAGGAGACGAATAGATTGAAGAATTCTCAACTACCTCCCTCGATTCACTTCTATACATTGAATGCTTTAGTTTCTGAGTAATAGGAAAATACATTTAAATGTATGTTTTTTTTTGTTTTAAAATTGCTTCGATCAATTTTAACTAGCTCACAACTGAACACATACTCCCCGGGGCCCGGGGAATATATTTTTACATGGATTCTACTACACACACGGCATCGAAACTCGTTAACAATAAATATATTTGTAAAGATATATATGTTATATTCTTCTATGATCAAGCGCAGTTATATATAAGGTTCCTGATTTCATCGCTTAACAAATACAAGTTACAAAATCTTTCATTTTCTCTTCAAATTAAAATGATGTACATAGTCTTGAAAGAAAAACGCGGGCTCAACTGACATTAATATATAATATTAATAATAGAGCGCACAAATTGGTTAGTATCTAGATATAAATATAAATTTATATTTGCATAGAGTAGGTATGTGTAAATGTTCTCAAAGCCCTGACTGACATTCAAACTTTCTGTTCGTCACATTTTCTGTGCTTTACTTTTCTCACAGTTTACAAAATTGGAGAAGGGGACGTGATTTTAATTTATTTTCAATAAATTTAATAATATATAGTACAATAGTTAACAACATCGCACAATAGCGTTATTAAAATTTCTTTAAGAAATATAAACATTCATTTCACACACATACAAATGATCGTTCGTGTCCTGTGGCTCAATGTGTATGCGTGTTAGTGTATGTGTGTGATTGTGTTTTGAGAGCGAAAGGATTCACAGGTCCTTTCAGCCCTGCTCATTTTTGTATATATAAAAATAGCGTTTTGAAATAGTTAATAATTAAAAAAAATATATATGTTTATATCTATGTTTACAGCGTTACACAATCAATCAAAACTTGATCACAAATAATCAGGGGGGGGGGATGATAAACAGACTGTTTTGGATAAGAATTTGAGTTTTACATAGATATCAAAGTCTTGTGATCATGATTCAGTTAATTAGTGCACAGTTTCTATTTAATCTGACAAAAAATTGCTTTAAAACCTCTGCTGCTATACAAATCTGGATGTTGCCTGATCTCAACAAGCGTTTGCATACCTCATCATTCGCGATCACCTTTTTGGGGAATTCCTACGGATCGTATTTATAGCAGATCTACGCGTCTGAGCTGAATTCTAGGCTACACACAAATTTTTACGATCTAAATTGAGTTTATTTTTGTTTGCTTTTAGTTTTTCATTTGCTAGACACAATCCCCGAATTTGCAACATAACACGAACATGATTAAACACATTTCCACAAAATTTGAACAATGAACTAATTAGACAATTATTTAATAGATTCTAATAGACGGTACCCAACCCAATTGATGTTTTGTTTTGGCTCCGATCCAATAACGGATCGGTCGGATCAGTTTTAACTACAATTACATTTGAAATTCTACCAAAGTTTGAACTGTGCGGTACAAACCTCTAACGATGTGTAAAATGATTGCATTATACATATTCTCTTCCCACCCAAACGATCTATATAAACACCTATATAGAAATATCCTCTGGCTGAGTGAGCCGGTTGGTAGCCCCTAGTCCACCTTGATCCCACTGTCATCGGGATCGACGATGTCCACCAGGTTCTTCTCCAGCTGCTGCATCATACCGCTGTCGATGCCGCCCTCGAAGCTGTCCTCCGACATTAACTGTGGCTTTCTGCCCCACATCGGCTGTTGCTGCTGTTTACGGAAGATAATGCATAGAAATGATTAAAGAACTGAAAATGGTATGCAATGAAACCCCAAAAACAAGTCGTTTATCTATAAGAAGCTAGGGTGTGCTTGTTACCAAACCCATGAACAAGAAAATAGATTACATAAAAAGATAAAAGAGTTAATAATCGCACCTCCGTTTATTGGGGCAAATAAAGCCCAACCCACCCCACCTACCTTGTTGGCACTGAAGTTATCGTTCCTGTCGCTCTTGTAGCCACCATATCCCAGATCACTGTCGTTGTCCAGCAGCCAGTTGTTCCAGCTGCTGTTCGTGCTGCTCTTGGGACAAATAGGACCGTAGCGACTCAGCATGGAGGAGCCGGTGGGCACATCGAATGTGGACGCATCGTCATCCAATATGGAATCTGATCTCACAAAGTTCGCCGACTCTTTGCCCGTATTATTCCAGAAGAGCAGCGATGAGCCATGATTGCTACTGTTGTTGTTGTTGTGGGAACTGCTATTGTTGTTGTTGTGGTTGTTATTGTTGGATCGCCGGAACAGAGGCACTGCATCCACATCGGACTCTGGGACTCTGTCCAGATCTATGTTAACACTATTCGGCGGTTTCTTTTCATAAAATGAGGTATCAGCTGTTGCGGCTAAAATCGACAACGGTCGGTTGGGATTCGGCTTGCTGGACGGTGGCTGCTGCTGCTGGGGATGCTGTGGAGGAAGTTGCTGCTGCTGAGCCAGGTAGGTTTGTTCCCAGGGGTTGCCCAAATGGAAGACGTCCCCTCCGCCGCCGGGCATCATATAGCCCTTGTGCATATTGCTGTTCACACTGAAATTCGGTGGGTTGGCATTGCGTTGCTGTGGCGCTCCCGGATTGGTTTGATAATCCCTGGGCGAAGGATTCCTCGGCTGACCAACGCCATAGCCGCTGAAACGAGGATCATAGCGGTTGGGAACTATGAGTCGGGTAATGGGACTGTGATGCGATGGATGGAGCAGCGGCGGTGGAGGCTGCTGTGGTGGAAGTCCTCCTCCTGGCGATAGACCCAAACTGGGCTCCAGATAACCCCTGGGGGATCCCATGAAATGCATGGGCGACATGGGCAACATGGGTGGCACTCCCACTCCCAAGGCCGTACCATCCTGCTCTCCTAGGGGCTTCTTGATGGCTCCACCGCCCATGGCTGGCGGTCCCTGCAGCGTTAGTGGTGTCTTTATATGTTTACCGCGATTTCGGGCCCGGTAGCGCTCGACCTCCTCTTGGGAGTGGGCAAAAGTGCAGCTAGCACCTCTGGGACACACCCTCCGTACATTCAAGTCCCTGCACAGGCTGATCTTGTACTTGGGATTGCTATTGGCCGTTCCACCACTGCCACCGCCACTGATTCCATCCTGGGCCTTGCGAACGCCATGGTGCTGAAGGAAGTTTACCAATCCCACAACCGAATGACGGACTGCATCTAGGGCTTCAGCCAAATCCGGCCAGGGTGCCACCTCCGCACAGGGATCGATGTTGGCCAGGTACTTGAGGTGGTGATGCAGACTGGCCAGCTTCGCGGGATCACTAGTCCGCTGCAAGGCGATGACCAGTTCCTGGACTGATTGGGCAAAGGAGCTGGGTGTCTGCAGCTTGTCGATGATGCTCTGCATGTGGCTCTTGTGCATCACGTCTCCGTACAGCAGGGAAGACCATTGTTCCGGGGCTATCCGCAGACCCGCTTCGGTGGCTATCTGAACGATCTGGGCATCGTGTTCGCGGCGCAAAGCGTCATAAGTGCGGAATTCCTCCTTGAGCTGCATCAGCGATGAGTCCGCCTCCCTTTTGGACACCTTGAAGCAGCTGGCACGGTATAGCAGCTGTACCACATGTCCAATACTCGTCTTGGAGGCCTGTGGAAATTGCGGTTCCAGTCGCTGCACCACGAACATGACCAGCACTTTGCGCGATAGCGCAGATCCCTCCTCCAAGGCGAGTAGCACCAGTTTAAGCACTTCCTCTTGCATGGCTGGTCCAAGGAACTGACATCCTCTAGTCCGTACCGCCGCCCACAGATTTGAGCTCAACTGCTGAGGATTCTGATGCTGCAGGATTAGCTCGGTAACTGTGCGCTCGCCCAGGGATCTGGCTGCCCGGAGTGCCCTCACTCGTCCCTCCTCCTCCATCAGCTGGCAGTTGACCAGGGTAACCAGTTTCCGTTGCATGGGTCGAGTTAGGAGATTGCCATTTCCGTTTAGGTTGAGGAAGGACTTCAGATGCAAGGCCAGCTCCTCGATGCACCGCTGACCCAGTTGATAGCACTTCAGATGCTCTGGTTCCAGCTTCTGGACACTGGGCGGTGGTGGTCCCAGCTCCAGGAGCTCCGAGTCTTTAACCAACTGGAGCAGAGCATGGTTAACGGGCAGATTGTCGATCTCGCTGACAATCACGGTCTGTAAATGGGCATATAAGTTTGGAGAAGTTTATGATGGTGGATTTAAACTCACCTGATCGAAGGGACACTGCCGGTTGTAGAGGGTCGTCAGGCATAGCTTGCAGATGGTGTGCCCGCAGCCCAGACTGACCGGGCACCGCTGGCTGGCCGCGAATTCATTGCAGCAGATGGGACAGTTCAGAAAATCTGTCCATGAGGGAGCCTGAATCGGCATGCTGTGAATAACAACCAATTAAGATGATTAAGCCAACAGGAAAAGAAAACCAGCTATGTGTGTGAAAGTTTGGAATACTCTTTTATATTATTGGCAACTTAGAGATATAACCTATTGATCATATATCGATCTAATAGTCGTGTAATTCCTAATCGAAAAAGACTTGACACTATAAAAACCAGGTACGACAAATAATTACTATTTCAGATTAAAAGTCTTGTGAAAATAAAACTCAAACATCTATGTTTACGGATTAGAAGATATTTTTTGTCGCAAATGCGAAAAATCATTTTGAATAACCCCGATACGGAAGATCGTTTGCCTTATATAGAACTTTTCTGTGGCACTTGTAACATGTTTTTCTTATCTGGGTTTTGGTAAAGCGTGCTAGAGAATTTATAACAAGTTATTTAACATTAATATTTAAATAATAACTATCTATATTTGAGTATGTGTTCTTGAGGGATGGAATATTACAAAGAATTTATTTGATCAGGTTTGATTTATGTTTTCGGACCTAAAAATTAAGGACAAGGTATTCCATAAAATTGATCTTAATTGGAATGATATGCCTAGGATGGGGGTTTTTGTAAAATAGGTTCACCAAAGAATGATCGTATCTATGGAACGGTAAATCTTGAAGAAATTAGTTTTTGGTCCAAATATGTGTGGTATTACAAAAGTGAAGAAAAGATGTAAGTGACGTGAGTCAAGGTGGAGTTATTTTCCATTTACACCGATCGAAAAGTGGCACAGTAAAAAGTTTCGCTTTCGTCTTTTTCTTCTTCTTCTCGCAGTACCCCCAACGTCAGCTGTCGCTGGCACACACACACGCACACCCGCTCACTCACACACCCTCGCCATCTGGTGTTGGTGTGCGGGGGCATTTGTACACGCATGCAAGTATATCTGTATGTATATATAACATACATATATGGCCAAATTGCACTTCCTGGAGAACTTTTTCGGGGTATACGTACTCGTAGGATCGTTTTAGCCCCCTTTAAAGGCCCCCCACACACACTGGCTCAGGGGTAATCCAACCATTTTATTCGGGGAACCCAAACGTAACTCGCTTTCAACGTCATCAGCCATCCGCTTTCTTTTAAGACGCGAACAAAGGGAATTTCGGGTAGTATCCAATGCGATCTATATTCTTTGGGTCTCCCACCCTCGCGAACTAGGGCTACACTCCTCTGAGCTGTGCCTAATAGCCAGATATCCCCCAGGAAAATCACAGAACTCCACAAAAACTCTCTCCCAAAGTTTTTTTTCGTTACGTTTCACTTTTCACTTTGCTCGGCAGATTCCATAGAAAGTCGCTTGAAAGCGATTCTCGACACTGGCGCTGCACTGACTCACCTTCAAAATGCACATATTATTGCATTAAAGGTACGAAAAGATGTTTTTTAATTTTCATTGGATTTTTTTGTAAAAAATTGGAAGTTGCAATCAGTATGACCGCAGGCGGTAGAAACATCGATGTTAACATCGAGTCATCGATGTTTTCAAATCATCAGTAATCGATGTTTGGCACGCACAAAAATACTGAAATTGGCTGTGTGAAAAATGGCCGATTGTTTTTGAACTGCTTGCGCAAAGGGTCACACTAGATGTGCTCAGCTGATTGCAATGGGCAGTTATCGGTTTCGGTTTACCTATCAATATTTGAAAGTTTTTATCTCAAAGAACAAAGAATTAAACATTAAATTAATATTAATTTTTGAAAACTATTTAAAGAGGTTGTATTATCCTCTAGCTTAACATCCTATGGTTTTCTATAGTCCAAAATTCGCAAATTTTAATTTAAGTTACTTTCAGTCGGATCTCAAAGTAGATATTATTGCCAACAATCTTTATAGATGTTACAAGGAAAATAATTATATCATATATTTGATGTACCCTTAAGCGAATAATCTTTTAAGGGAATAATCATTAATGCTAACAAATTGACCGATGCTGTAGCCTCCTGTTTTTCCAATTGCGTTACCAAGCAATCATCTGATTAAATTTATATGACTTATTTACAACGCAGAAAATACTCATGCTTATAAGCAGTAACTACAAGGCAATCACAACTCATAAAAAATATAACGTTATACAGTTTACTTCGTGTTTTTATACATTTGACTCATGTATATTATATTTCTAGGAATTTACAGTCGAGTAATGATTACATCTCATCAAATAATGTCGCCAAGTTTACAAAACTCTGGTATTAAAATCTATTTCTTAGCAGTAGCTCCATAAGCAGAGCCCTTGCTAATTTTGGAAGCATTGACAGCGCATTCCATGAGGCCATAGACTGAAAATAAAGTATACCAAATTATGTTAAGTTCCTTTAAAGTACATTTTCTCAACTTACATCCTCCCAAGATGGATATGACGGTGATGAAGCCAATCCAGTTGCCTGCAACCAGTGAGGTTACCAAATAGTGCAAAATACAAAGGACCGATACAGCGGCCCAGCCCAAAAAGTTTAGCAGGGAGGCCAGGCGCGGCTTGTAGATCTTTTCGGGAACCTCCTTGACTCCGGAATTCTTAAAGAAGCTACCGGTTTCGTGGAAACTGTCGATGATCTTGTCCTTCTCCGCAAAGAAGTCCAGCATGAAGGCAGCGGCCTCCTTTTCACCATCTGGAACCTTTTCCAGTGGCACACGACGAATGTACATGTAGGGCTCCACGGGCTCACCATTCAACTGGGACAGCATGGTGGGTCTTGGCTATAAAACAGAATATATATTGGGAATTTAATGTTGGTTAGGCCTTTGTTTATCATTTAGAATATTTAAATTGAACTATTGTCTGCATTATAAAATTATTATTTTGAATTACTCAATGGAACTTTAAAGACCTTTTTTGTATTTAGCACGAATAAATAAAAAGTCCTTACCTCCGCATTCTTCTTGAAGGCCAGGTTGATGTCGTAGATGGCAGGACAGATGCCTCGCATGGTAGGCAGACTGGTGGTGAATCCCTTGGTGCGCGGAACTAAGTGGTGCTTGAACACGGGAAGACCTCGTTCCTGGGCAAACTTCACGGACAACTCGTGCTTGGCGGCAGTGAAGCGAGTGCCCTCAGCATTGAGTAACAGCCACACCGGATCCGGATGGGAAAACACCTCCGTAAGCTGACTCTTGATCACTATCTTGTCCTTCTCGAAGTTGCGGTCGAGGAAGATGAATTCGGCCATCCACCAGACCCATCCTGCAACGGGCACGTAGCGTAGCATCTTCTTGGCGTACGCCTTGGCTCCTCCCAGAACTCCCAGCTTGTCGGTGATCATCCAAGCGGTTAGCCAGTCAATCTCGTACGTGTGATTCATCAGCAACAGTCCGTGCTCCTTGCCAAAGAACTTTTCCTCGTCCTCGGGATCAATGTAGACCCGCAGTTTGCTGCCTGCATACCATTCCGCCACACAGACCAGGACTAAGAAGGGAGAACATTTTAAAAATAAATTAAAATCCTTTTAAAATTCCTGATTTCTATATTTCTACTTTAATATACTTGTTTTAAACTCAATTTCATGTTTTAATAAGGGTTTATAAGCTTTATGCTCTTTTTTTAAATGATCTTATTAGAAAACTTTAAAAGAAAAGTCTAAATATAGAAGAAAAGCATATTTTTAACTTGAATAACATTGAAACTAAACCAATTTTGCTAAACAAAATGAAAGAACGACATAAATATTTCACATTTAACCTTATCAAGAACTGTTCTCTCCGGAAATGTGACAAAAACCAAAACCTTTTTTAAAATTATATATTTTATACTTGGTATACTTACTGCTGTAGAAAGAATAATGGAGGTAGTACATAAGACTTCTAGAGAGTCGCTTGTCGAAGGGTCTCACAAGAACGATCAGCAAAAGTTGTCCAATGTTGACGAAGATTCCGCACGTGAAGAAGGTCACGGCGATTAGTAATCGCCCCAATCCCCTAAGATTTGACATCCTAGCTAAAAATAAAAATGCCAATAAAATCAATAAATTAGGCTAACTTTACGTAACACACATCGAAATTCATGTTCTGCAATGCAGTTAATAAATATGTCCAGCGCGCGATATTGACTTGATTATGGCCGGCACTCAAACTTTGCTCCCAATGTGTCATGGACAAATTGTTCTGCTAAAATTATAAACCCGTAAACACACACTTACAAAGCACACTGTACTGGTACAGTGGGCATTCTATTATATGAGCACCAATAAACTAAAAAACTATATTTCTTATCTTACCCGACGTTATAAAATGGGAATTCCCACTGATAATAGGTTTTTGTAACAGAATTACACAACTTTTACTTTTATATCTCTTATATTACGAAATATATTTCAATTTGCCAAGTAAAAATAGATATAATTTTCATGACGACTTCTACATTTTTTGTTATAAAGTCTTTAACGAAATTTAATGTGGTATAGAGGAAACTATTGGACTTGTAGGTTAATTGATACCACGTTAAGATAAATTCTTAAATGTGTATGTATGACATTTGTCTTCAGTATTATAACACTTTTTATAGAACCTTTTTTATTTAAGTAATATATTATTTGTTTTTTTAGGTTCACATGTCGATATAATACTGTTTGCACCAACACAATATCACTCACCTATCTTTGAGGAATCTTGACAAATTGGAGGCCAGGAAGTTGCAAGTTGTTCTACCAACCAGTAGACGTCGACTGAATGAAATTGACTCTTCTAGTCGTCCGGGCCCCTAGTGATATGGATCTGCGTCGATAGTACACCCCAGAAACCTATAACTAACACTTTTAATCACCTGTTATCAGTTATAGGAAACCAGGCGGCCTGCTTATCTCCGAATAAAGACGCTTTTATGCTGCGCGTGTGTTTGTATATATGTATAAAGCCAATGGCAAGCAGTACCATTAACGGAACGTGCACTGCTTCCGATCGTAACAACTGATAAAGAACCGAAAGAGTTAAACATGCTGATAGGTACAAATTTAATTGATGTCGTATGCTATGTGAAGAATAGTTTTATGTTCTCTGCACCCGTTTTCATATCTGCGTAAAACCGTAGACTTTAAAAAAAAATGTGTGCTTAAACTATTAACTTTATAGTAATTAGCGTTGAGAATGTATAACTCTAGTTTTCCTGTTTAAACTACTACTTACCGAATTTTTGTATAATTTAGTTTTAAAGATTCTTTAAAAAAACTAATAAAAAGTTAGTATTTTCCATTAAGGCCATTCTTTAGGTGAACTGCTTGCTCACCAACGCGTATCAGCTGTTGGACCCCCTTATCAGCGCACTGCTTTTCCTTATCAAAAACAATAAGCTTTTCACGTACTTTTTAATTTAATTATTGCAATGCTCACCAAATACAATTGATCAAACAATTAAATTTCCACTTAGGTGTACAACTACCAACTATGTACGCAAATTGATGGCTCCAGTGTGCGGGAGTTACCTTGTAACTATAAACTTAGACAAAAAACATGCACTTCTGTTCAAAAACACTTTATATCGTCTGGGGTGGAATCGCGAATTGATCCGTTTAGCAGAGACATTTGTGAGAGGACTGCCTTTTACAACGTCACTTGTAGATAATTGAGTTCGACAACAATCGGAACTAAATGCGAAATCGAAAGTTATTTTGTGCTCGACTTGGACGATCCATAGCTGGATCCCTTGCTAATCTGCGTCTTGTTGATGGCCTGACCCATTAGCCAGTAAACTGAAATTTAAAATATTTAGAAAAATAAAGAATACAGAGAGAGGTAGAGGATATCACATTGAAAGGTTGCCAAGCTCTTTTCTACAGTTGTTTAAATGAAATTAAAACTTGAGAGAAAAAGTATCTTTAAAATTACTAGATCTTTTATAATGTAAGGTGGTCATTTTAAAGGCCCCATTTTTTAGATACTATTAATTTTAAATGGCCTATTTTCCATTTGAGTGTGTAATATGACATGATATTGATATCAATGTGATATCCCTTGAGCTCTTTAAATATCAACTTACAAAGTCCCAGCACAGAAAGAGCAGTGATGAAGGCCGTCCAGTTGGCCGCCAACAGGGAAGTAATCAAGTAGTAGAAAATGCAGAAGAGCGAGAATGTCGCCCAACAGGCGAAATTCACCAGCGAACACAGCCGGGGTTTGTTCACGTAGGCCGGAACCTCCTTCACGCCGGACGTCTTGAAGAAGCTGCCCGTCTCCAGGAAGCTGTCAATGATCTTGTCCTTCTCCACGAACAGGTTCTGCAGCCAGGCGGCGGCCTCCTTCTCATCCTCGGGCACCTGCTCAAGGGGAATACGCCTCATCAGCAGGTAGGGTTCCACGCCCTTTCCATGCAGCAGGCTCAGCATTGTGGCAGGTACCTTAAAATATAATTAGAAACTGGATTAGTTTGTGTTTGCATACTTGAAATCACTTTATCAAAAGATAAAGTGGGCCGCTTATTAGTTTTACGATCACACATTTCCCCCACATCTTTATAACCACCTATAACCACCGAATTGGCTACTATTACTTAAACCCATAATAAACTGCAATGTGTCGAGTATCGTGTACAACCTATAATTAGATGGACAAGTTATTCGTATTCAAAATGATCGTTGCTATGGAGGCTAAGTAAAAAAGATCAGGAATAAAAAACATTACCTTGGCAATATAATAAAGTAAGCCCCCAGTCTGACATTTATGTTAACCTTGACGTGCTATAAATTTAAACCTATCGGTATCGCAAAGAGAAACATGACTTTTTAAAGTGGCACTGAAGTGAGTTCGTTTGTTTGAGCAACAAGATAATCCGAGTAAAAGTAAGAGATTAGATTGGACTAAAGCAATCAGAACGACATTATCGAATAGGCTGATAACCCTTATCGAAACTTTATAAGTGGGCTATGCAAAATGTTTCATTAATAAAGTAATGACACAATATTGAGTTATATAGTTGCGAATATATATGCTCAACAGGTTTTAGAAGGGAGTTACTCAATGAACTCGTTAGATGGGTTTGTAATATTCACCTTGTCGTCGGGCCTGTACGCTAGATTAATGTCGTAGATGACGGGACAAAGGCCGCGAATGGGTGCCAAGCTGGCAGTGAATCCCTTGGTGCGTGGGATCAAGTGGTGCTTCAGGACCGGCATGCCCCTTTCCTGGGCGAACTTTACGGATGCCTCGTGCTTGGCGGGCGTGAAACGGGTGCCCTCGGCGTTGAGCAGAAGCCAGGTGGGATCGGGATAGGAGAAGACCACCTTGAGCTGCTCGGTGATGATGGTCTTGTCCTGGTCGAAGTTACGGTTGAGGAAGACGAACTCGGCCAGCCACCAGCCCCAGCCGATGATTGGCACATAGCGGATGGCCTTCTTGGCGTAGGCCTTGCAGTTGCCCAGGACGCCCAACTTGTCGCAGATCATCCAGCCGTTGAGCCAATCGATCTCGTACTTGTGATTCATGATCAGGAGCACATGCTCCTTGCCAGCATGTTTCTCAAAGTCCTCTTTGTCCATGTAGACGGTCATCTTGCTGCCGGCATACCAGTCGGAAACGAAGATCAGTTCTGAAAGATTTTTTTGTTTACTCAGGGAATGTTCTCTTTAATTCGGTTGGGATATACTCACGGGAGTAGAGCGAATAGCAGGCATAGTACATCAACTTGCGGAAGAGGCGCTTGTCTATGGGCTTGATGAAAACGTGCATCAGCAGCTGGATAAAGTTGATGCACAGCCCACTGGTGAAGAAGGTGAGCGCGATGCACAGGTGGATCAGTCTCAATTGTTTCAGCTTCTCCAGCGACACCATTTTGATCTGCAATTAAAGATTGCTTAACCAATAAAACTGCAGCCTTTACGTAATCAAAACTTTAATTGTAGGTTGTTCCCCTATGGTAGTGCTCGTAAACCCCCCTAGCTTTATGGCCCCGCGGATGAAACACCCCGGTTATTACCAGCACTCAATCGAGTTCAGTTTTCTTGGGACAAAAGCACGCGGTTAAGTTGAAAGAAAGCGTGGAAAGCGGGAAGGCAACCACCTGCACCACCAGCTGGCAATGGACTGGGGCAACCACCGAGCCGCAGAGATATTCGTCAGATATCGGGACTGCTATAGCTATATATTTTGCTAAGCCCGCTGCCGGAGAAGGAATCTAATCAGTCTTGCCCAACCGATGACTTCTCCCTTGGAAATAGCAATAGCCGCTGTGGACAAAGTCCGGTCGACCGACGGATAGTCATTATAGGGCAAATCGAAGATACTTCACAGTGGAAGCTCGCGAAAGTAAACAATCTTTAAAATTAGCAGGTCTACTCCAAAGGGGAAAAAGGTGTGCAAATAGCATGAAAGAGAATAAAGCTATTTAAGTGCTACTTTTAGTATATAGAGGCGTTTCGAAAACCTCTAAATTTTTAACAACCGTTTTTATGGTGTGTAGAAATACTCGCTCAACTTTTGAACTTTGGTGAGAAAGCATACATTAAAACCTGCCGTTGTCGTAGAAAAATATATGAGACTTTAATGTAATTGTTATCAACTATTTTTTGTAGGATTTCGGAGCTTTCAATAGTTATTATTAGGTATCATTATGATATTTAATATTGATCCTAAAAAAGAACTAGAAGTGCCTACTTTATGCTAAACAAATTTCTTATTGAAACTTTGTATTTAGGATTAGAGTTGAGGTGCCAATAATGATTTGCATTAAAGGTTAATGGAACAGTGCTAAATTTAAATTGCTAATAAAAGTTTGTTTAGCTGTACAATACAATACAAATAAAATATTGTGTAGACCTATGTATATAATGATTTATTGTGAAAACTAACTAAGCTCAAAACTACCTACAATAGTGATGATAAGTCATTAATAGTAATGAGACACGTAATATAAATCCGTGACTGTATAAATTAACGAAAGTTGTGGAACCCACTAAAGTTGTGTCATAATAAATGAAACGAAACGAAACGATAACAAAGGTTCAAGGGTAAACCCTGTCTTCCTAATGATTAAATAATACATTATACATAGAAGGGCTGCTAAGAGATGTTTTTGAGCAGACGAATATACCACTTTATATATAAAGAACACAAAGCTAAATAAGTAAAAAATTTACTGAATCAAGTTGATTGTATTTTTGTTGCACTCAATTGGTGACCCCTGCGATGATTGTTGAACTGCTTGCACTAAATTAGTTCACTTTTTCGATCGCTCACCATATAGTATATGCATAATATGTGTTACATATGTATATGTCTTAAATACAACAAAAAGAGTTCTTGCGCACACACACCGGGGCATAAGTATGTATGTACGCTTATATACGTATATATACTCAGCTGGCCCACGTGTGAGTGTGTGGGGTGGCGTGACGTGGTGTGTCTTTATGGCTATCAATTCCCGATCCGCGATCGCATCACCACCCACAATTATCAAAAACAAAGTCCACTTGGTTTGGTGGAGGGCTATCAATCCGCAGCTGGGACGCTCTTATCGGTTATTCCCTGTTATATATGTATATATCTGCGCACATATATGTATACTTTGGAAGGATGGCCTTGCCCTTTGTTAACTATTGTCACTGGAATTGGTTGTAAAACCTTATCAACACTATAGAACTATCAGTCGGCGACGAAGTGCCCGCCATTTACCTTTTTGGCAATGTTTTTTGTGCGAATTGATTTGTTTTCTTTTGTCAGCCAAACGGTATGACCGTTTGCGTGCAGATAAGTTGCCCACCGGTGAACAATCGGAATTGGTGAGTCCTGCTTTTGGTATTTTTCTCACTTTTATAAGTGTTGCCAGGCTGCTATTGTTTCCTACTTTGCACAAATAGCTTTAAATTCTTTAAGATTTTTTTAGGTTTAGTTTTGGCAACCCGATTCTCAAAGGGTATTCCTAGTGTATTTTACTATTATCTTAATAAAACAATTACAAATTTTCTTTTAAGTTTTAATTTAATCACAAGTAGTCCTTGTATTGGGTTTGGGATATATATAAACCCAGAATTTCAGAATTGCTTATGATATATGTAAAAATTGTAATTTTTTGAAACCCCCTCACTTTTTTTGTTCTAGTATTTAACAACATTACTGCTGGTATTTTTTCCACGGCTTCTGACACCTGGCAACCCTACTGGTTTGCGTCCACACTAATTGCCTGTCAAAAATCTTTCGCGAAATTGAACGCCAAATTAATTTTCTTACAATTAGAAATTGCTTTTTCGCTGAAAGTAGACGCTTAAAAACTGGGATAAACCCTAGTTAACCCATTTGGGGTCTTGGACCAAGGTGTTAAGTGGTTTTCAGCAGCGGCAAGGAGCAGCGAGGCGGCGGATCTGAAAATTCAGCCGGCAGACGCTTTTTTGTTGGGCGAAAATTGCAGACGTGAGCGCGTGAGTTTTTTTGGGGGGTTAAATGCCCAAGATGTACATACCTGACCGTCGTCCAGTTGCAGCCGATATGTCCAACGTGGAGATCTACGACTCCTCCAATTCCCAGCTCAGTAGCGACGAGTACAGCCACGAGGAGGGGGAATACGACGCACTGATGGACGCGGCGGTAAGCAAGGAGCGCCCCCAGACGTTGAAGACCAAAGCCACCGGAGCGGAGAAGCCCGGAAATGCAGCTCCCGAAGTGGCTTCTACATCCGACAAGGATGAGAAGCCGGAGATCAAGGCGGCACCGCCTTCCACACGCGCCGAAACCCTTCGCCGAATCCGGCAATTGCAGCTACAGCGTCGCGGATGGCCCAATCTTTACTTCAAGCGTCGCAGCATGCGCTGGTAAGCTAGAATCCCCTGTAGAAACCCTTCCCCGAAGTCAAAATATCACCTCATCCCATTTCAGGCTGCGCCCCAATAAACTGGAGTACAACACCTATTTGGAGGGCCTAAAGGATCTGCTGCCCAGGCGCAAATCAGAGCTCCAGGCTCGCTACAACGCCAGGAAGCGCCGGACCTACGACAGCAGGACCCCCAGTCGTAGTCGCAGTCGCAGCCACAGCCCCAGTCGGAGTCGCAGTCGCAGTCGTAGCCGTAGTCGCAGCTATTCGCGTAGTCGTAGTGCCAGTCGGTCGCCGGAACTAATTTGTCTCGATGACACGGAGAACGAGGAATCCCCGGAGAAACCCGATTCCGATCAGCAGGCCAGTGTTACGCCTGTCAAGGAAAATAAGCCTAAACTTGCGCCCGCTCCTCAAATCAACTTTGAAATTCCGGAGAAGAAGCCGCCGGCAAACAACGAAAACGGTTCCTTTATCCTCGACGAGTTCTTGATACAGAAGAACCCTCAGCAGCCTGGCTTTGACTTTGACAAGCTTTCGGCGACCATGGAGTTGGAGCAGGCTCTAAATGATCAGACCCTTGTGCAACAGGAGGTGGTACTGGAAGTGGCCGAATCCCTAGTAGTTGAATCCACTCTCAAGAGACGGCGCTCGGTGACACCGCCCTCAAGCATCGAGAAGTGCACTAATCTAGATGCGGATGATGATGATGATGATACGATTGAATTTATGCAGGTGCAGGAAAACAAACCAGTGAATACAACAATACCCTTAGATCTCCAAATGCCCAGCACCCCAGTTGCTAATCCTCTTCAGGGTCAGCCTTCGTTCAAGCTCAGCACACCGTATTCCCTGGCTCCGCCTGCGACCAAGCCGGCTGATAATTCGACGCCCGTCTCCTACAGTTTAAATACTCCTACACCGCCGGCTACGCCCATGGAGATAACCTATCCCAACGAGAAGCTGCCAAATAACACAAAAGTCAACACGCAGAACTATTCAATTCAACAGGCAGCTTCACCCCAAGTGTCTGCTTTGTATGCTGCTATTCCACAAGTGGCTGCTATCGCAAAGAAACCTCCAGTTCAGGCTGCTCCACTAAGGGCAGTTCCACTGGAAAAGCCTCTGACACCAGTACATCAAGCTCCTTTGCACCAAATGGCTCAACTAAGATCAGCGGCTTTGCAGCAGATGGCTCCACCACAGCAGCTCGCTCCACCAAGATTTGACCTACCACAGCAGCAAGCTCTACCAAGATCAGTTCCGCCACATCAGCCAGCTCCGCCACAACAACAGCTTCCTCCTCAGCAGCAAGCCCAACCAAGATCAGCTCCGGCACAGCAATTGGGTATACCAAGGGAAGCTCTGCCGCAGCAGATAATTCCACCAATAGAAGCTCCACCACAGCAGTTTGAACAACCAAGGGAGACTCCACCGCAGCAGTTGGCTCCACCACAGCAGTTTAACCAAATGCCGGCCCAAGTGCAACTCAACTTGCCTCCAGATGTTCCACCCAGCTTTGCGGTTCCCCAGCAGCCGCAACCACGTCGCTCGGAGACGGTGTCCACCCAGACGCAGGGGTCGCAATCACCGCAGCCCTCTTCTTCGACAACCCGCCAAAAGCCCACCATTGATCTCAACAACAGTGACGCCAATTTCCATTATCGCGTCAAGGAACTATTCGATGAAATAGACTCCATCATGACGGATAAGGTTAAATCGGTCCGCCCAGATCAGAATTCTCTGAGCGCAGAACGGGAGCGCATTGATGCGGATCTAAAAACAATAGACAATCTGATAGCCCAAAAAGAGGAGGAATACAATCGACTGCTTCATCTTCGTTGCGTGAAGGAGGAGCTGCGTTCGCGATTGGAACGAAAGGAGCGCATGACGGTCATAAAGGACCTACTGCCGCTTCTTCTCACAAAAAGCTGTAGCACTGACGAGCTGCGCGAGATGCAGGCGATGCTCGATGAAGAGCAGCAATCTCCAATGACTTCTAAACGTGGCCTGTCGGCGGTGGAGCAATGCCTAAATTATGCCGAACTCAACCAGAACAACATCCGTGTGCTGCGCGGGTGAGTTTGGTCAACAAATTCTAAGAACTCTAAATCGATGTCAATAATTTCAGAGTTATGGGCTTGAAGGAACAAGCTCCACCTGTATCTCTTCGCCATTTCGAGGACGAACGTAAGCAATTCAGAAGGAGTTCCATGTCCACGCGCGATCCTCGGGATACGTTAAATACAAATGCTCCGCTGGCTAAGAGGCAAAAGTTATTGCATCCACAGGACAGGTAGGAATACTTCATTAAGTTTCAAATAGGCTTCTAAGCTCGTCTTTCCCTATTAGTGCATATTAGTTAAATGTTATATTTTTTTTCCAGATATCAGGAGATGACCAACTCCACGCCAAATCTGGCTACCACATCCTCATCCTTCTACCACGAGGCTCCGGGAAAACCTTCCCCTTACACTAACATCTCAATGGACAATCATTTCGATATTGACTCACAACTCAAACCGCTGTTCAACAGCAGTCCCATGGCCTCCCAGCGTCAGCCAGCTAATAGACAGGTAAGAAAACTAATGAAAATACTTTATTTACAAAAAATAAACTTTTCTTACTTTCCAGTACCACGAATCACATTCCGCTTACCGTAACGACGAAGAAATGGCCGAGATACAGTCCAAGTCAGACAAGATCAAATCGCTGGGCCTAAAGAGCAACAAAAAGTCTAATCGTGATTTATCCGCGCCCATCAATGGCAAAGAGGATAGGCGCTGCCACGAATGCAAGCGCCATGAAGCCACCTACATGTGCTCCAGTTGCCAAAATCAATGGTACTGCAGTCGTGATTGCCAGGTCAGCTAAGTGGTCTTAAGTGGTTATTGAAGGAAATTGGAGGAGGAAATTGAAGGAAAACATTAATTCAAGTACCCAAAAGATTTTTCGTGATTTTTTCTATCAGTTTTCAACAACCGTTGAAAATTCAACATAACTATATACCCCAATTTGTAGTAACCACACATATTAATAGGTTTTCTCTGCTACAGAGTATTTAAAATAAAATACCTTTTCCTTCACTCATCTATTTCAGCTTCGCGCCTGGGACTCACATTATCGAACTTGTGGCATCGATGTGGATCGCCCTTAGGATATCAGCATTACTATGTTTATAAACTATAACTATACCTATAGCGTATCGCATCGCAAATGCCCTACCCCATTTACTCAACGGCGTAAGTCTTTGACAAATACAGGACATTGACCGACAATTTTAAATTGCATTTCATTGAATTAATTTTTGTATTTGTACTCAATCACGCTCATCCTATAAATAAATCAAATACTTAACGATTACTCGGAACAACTAATTAATAGTTTGCATAGTTGATAAACTTATAATTGGTCCCATAAATGTGTAACTAAAATTGAATTCAGTTTAACTTCCGAAGAGTTTTTTATTTTCAAAGATCCATTTTGCTTATAATACAAAAATTTACACAACTAGTTAATTTTTTATCAATACAATGTTAGTTTCCTAAAAAAAGGGTATGTTCTATACAATTTAAAAACATTCAACAGAAAATGTGCAAGTTGATGAATTGGATTTTGAATTTATAAAAAAGTGCATTCTAATTATGTTTCTAAGTATGTTTGATTTCGCTCTTAAGAAATATAATTTAAATGACATTTCGGTTACATTTAAATAGAAAACTGTTTAAAAATATTTACTTTTATTTATTTTCTGTTCCTTTTACTACAATTTCATGCTGTTGGTAAAATAAATAATATGTTTACATTTATTTTAAGTGAAATTTTTTTTTTTTTTTTTTTTTTTTTTTGGTGGTTTTTTTAATAGCAAACGCAGCTATCGATTGGATTCCCCTATTTTCTTGGCTTTTAGATTGTTTATTGTCTTTAGATAATTCTACGCTCAGATAATTCTATTCTGAGCAGGCCAAATTAACCTTATTTTCAGGATGGAGTCTATTTAATCAAAAAGTTCCTTGAAGCTTATTGAAGTAAAGATCTAGCCTGCTTAATATTTCATACATTTGCAATATAAAATGATAAGATACTAAAATATAAAAAGGCCTAAGAGATGTGTGTTGAAATAAAAGATATACCAATAAAGGATTAAGATTATTTAAAGTTTTCTTTTTTCCTTATTCAACACTGATTGGTATTGATTTATCGATAAATTCGCCATGGATGGCAATGCCCTCAAACGGCGGCAAGATTTGAATTTCACCTAGAGTTTTCTGTGGAATTTCTGGGGAATGGAATTTTGTCTAGACCTTCCCTATAGGGCTTGATAAACAAACCATATTAGATTTATTTACTTCGCCTGCGCACCTGGCACAACAGCTTGATGTCATTGATATGCAACCGGAGTGGCTGCCTCCTGGACCACGGACCACGTCTCAATTTCCGGATGCGCAACTGCCGGCTGCAATAGAGCCTAAATTTGAGATTCGGATTCCAAGCGGCATTGGACGAGGCAGCGGGAGTGACGCATTTGTAGGCATATTGCCACCATAATCGAATGCTCTGCTTGGTGCTGTGCTGAAAATCGGGATTGGTCGTTTCGGGATTGTAAATATTATTGGACCCTAAAACTGGTTGTCTGAGAGGGGAAAAACACTCACCATATAGACGGGCAAGACGTAGAACCGCTTGCACTCGCGCCGAATAAAGTTGAAGGCGATGGGTCGGCGGTATGTCGATGATACCTTGGTCAGGTGCGAACGGATCGCACTGGCGCTCGTCGATCGCTGCAGGCGCTGGAGCTGCAAAATAAAGAAATAAATAAAAATGATTTAAATGGCGCGGGCACGTAATTAGTTTTCCAAACAATTGAGCACATTTTGAGAACACAATTAATATGCGCAAAATGTTGGCCAAGAATTCGCGCCGAATTTGGCTTGCAAATGATTCGAATCGAGCGGGCTTTCAATTGAATTTATGACCCATAAGTTTGTGTACTCGGTACTATAGTGTACTTCATTTAGACACCTGCTGAACAATGCAAACGTTGGGCTCCAAATTTGGGGGGTTTGTTTTCATTTAATTTGTATTTAAACGTTTGTTTTGTAAGCATAATATTTTGAAGGGTTTTTAACGGTCCTTTTATGAGATCACAACAAAGGAATATATTTTTTATAACTTTGTGATGGTTCTCGTTAAAATAAAATAATAATATTTTGTTATTATATAAATTTCCATGCATATTTTAGTATTGAAAGAAATAATAGTATCATCTATTATAAATATAAAAATTCAATCTCGGCGAGTGTTTTCTTTCCAAATTAAAAAGGTATCTCTCTATAAGTTATTAAAAAACACTGCCCTGGTATTATAAAAATGTTTATCAAGTCATCACGACTGTATGTTTGTATTTATTAAACACAAAATTTATGGTTCATTTTATTGATTTAAATAAAATTCAAATAAATATTTGTTTTCTGGGAGTGTATTAAGCCATATCTGAACCCCAAAGTTTGCTAAAATCGTTATCATTTAAATTTTACAAACAGTTGTGAATGAAATCATAATGTATATCGACATTATCTATATGATTAATCACCTTTGCAGCAGGCAATCGTTATCTTAAGTTTGGAAAACTCCACAAAGGTATTTCTGGTTGGGGAGTGGGGATCGGTTGGGTGGGGCTAAAATGGAATCGGTGGGTGGTGGGGGGCGTCCCTGAACCTGCTTATCAAGGCGGCAAAGCAAGTCGCTGTTGTTGTTGTCCGCATAATAACTATAGAAATTACAGTTGCAAGGCGGCGTGGATTGCTTTCGCAGTGAGCAAAAGTGACAGGCGGGGTGGGCGAAGTCATCCAACTCGAAGTTGATAGCAATTAAATCCGCTTATCAGTTTAGAGACTCGATTTAAATTAGCACCCCAATGGAACCCCCCCCTTGTCCTCTTAATCTCCCGGCTTCTTTGTGATTTGTCCTCGGCGATGACTACTCGCCGACAAGTTTTTGCTATTATTAAACCGTTTTACAAGCCGCTAACGCTCAGAAATTGTTGCTAATTAGTTGAACCGCGCACGCCGGCGCAGCAGACCTTAAAAGCGACCCATCGACGGAACAGGGGGCAGTGGCGGGTTAAGCGGCGGTAACCACTAACAAAGGTGTGCGCTGGTATGAGTACCTATGCACCGAGAGAAATTACGAATCAAATTTCATATTAACCATGACCGATTATCTTCGTCGTGACCATTAATTTTTGAAAATCACTATGGTAACTCATTATATAAATTGCTTCTTTCGTTTTTCTAAGTGATTTTCGAAGTCGAGGATTTTAAATAACAAAATACATCTATTGGCAAATTAAATAAACAAGATTGTTTTTAAATTAACCTATTATTAAAAATTGTATTCTGTTGAAATGAAAACTTTATATTGAGTATGAATAATGGTAATGGTTTTTGGTAAAACTTAAAAATAATGTTTAACTGATCTATTATACTTTTATTATTTATGAAGATTAGGATAGTGAAATATTATATTATTGAAAATATATTTTTAAAATCAAAAATATCTATTAGCGAAAAATCAGTAATTAATTATTAAATTAATAACTTGATTTGCTTGTTTCTCTGAGTGTACGTGTCAAGATTGGAGGCAATCGAGCTGAATTAGATGCTGCTGGGGTCGATTGAGTGCAGATCAAGCGATGAGCAATCGAGTGCAGGGTGCAGCGTGAGCCGCACAATTAGATTCTTCGAAAAAATCTGAAATTATTATGAAAGGACCTTGAATGCAATTGCTGTTTGGAACAATTTGCATGTGAATAATGTCGAAAAGTCGCATTTTCCGCTGTCAATCAGTGCGTATGTGTAATATTTAAGGCGGTGCATGTTCCATTTGACTGTCTTTCAATGAAAAGCCAATTATGTTATCCTTGCGTGCACTTTCTCTCTTTATTTATTTTTATTTATTTGGATTTTTTTGCCATTTGCCCCCTGACAATTAGCACGGCGAATGAAAAAGGCAAACAAAAACAAATCTAACGCTTCGTTTAAAGCGATTTGTGCGCGCCTTTTAATGAAATTCGTTTGTTGTGTTCGATGTTGTATTAGGGTAGTATGTGCGTGCTGTGCTTTAGCTACGGGGTTTTTGTGGACCCGTGTCCGTTGGGTTGGCACTATCTCTATCTCTATCTGCCCGGCTATATCTGAGCGCGATCGGGCGCAGGGTGTCGCCGTGCTTGTGTTTGTGCCTATGATTCAGCGCCGGGCATACAACACAACAACAGTAAACAAATAGCAGGCACAGAGAACGGGGTTACAGTTCTCAGATACCCATTATAATACTTAAAAACACATTTATCGTGCAAATTTCCAACAATCCAATTTCTCTTCTGAAGGAAAAGTATTTGTTTTTTCGGCCTTAGTCCACACACCAAATTTCATGTCAATAGGAATAATTTTACGATCACAAGACCAATTTCAGTTGCTTATTTTATTCTTATCCCCAGTTGGTCGCCAAAATGTAGTCAATACTTAAAGGTCACTATAGTTGCATTACTTCATAAAACTTTTTTGTAAATCCCTCTAAAGTTAGGTACTATTAAACAAAAATATTATAAATTTTACAATTTTAATACTTTTTTTGATCAAAGAACAAATAAATAAATCCTACGAATTCATTTTTTAATTGAATTTCTTTGACAGGAATATTAAAAAATATTCCCAATGTATTCTAACCCAAAATGTATGCTACTAAAATTTTATTCCTTACCGAGGAAAACATGAAATCTAGGTAAATATCTGAAACAAATTCATTATATCTCAAGCAGATCGGCTAAACATTATAAAACAGTTTTTTAAAATTAGAAGAATATTTATTAATGTTTATCCATCTTTCATTTGAAGTTTACTTTTGAGTTGGAGGTTTATAATTTTCGTGTCAAAGTCCCTAGGCTTCCTATTGACCATGTCATCCCACCCGAAAAAGCTCAGTACACCCCCGTACTCCATATACACCGGGTACCACAACTCCCACCACAATGAATGGCGGGCGCTGTGTTCCGTTCTGTTTTATTCTGCCAGTTGATTTCTGTTCGGGTTCGGATCCGCTCATTTCAGTTCAGTTCTGTCGGCTCGACCACGGTTCGTGTCGATTTCGAATTCGCATTGGATCGGAGAGGGTCTTGCAAGTAAAATTCATGTTAATGAATGTTAATTTATACATTTGTAAGAATCTAAAATCTGTTTTTCCATACACAACAATTATTGACGCGGCCGTCGTCGGTCGCTTGGCGGTGATTTCGAATTTGGAAGCAGTCGCGCCCGAAACGTCGACGCGAACGCAAGCGAAGCGTTAACGGTAAAGCTATATAGATATAGCCAGGATGGATCCCGAGTTTGTGAACAAATACAATCAGGTCCTGAGCCGGCTAAAGCTGGTGGAGAACTTCGATGGCAGTGATCCCAACAAGCTGCCGCAGTTCCTTCATAAAATCGAGGCCCTTATGCCGGCCATAAATAGTTTCGATGACTATTACAAGGCCCAGTTAATAGGACATATTAAAAACAAGTGCACGGATCGGGCGAGAGAGGCGGTCTTCACGCGACAAATGAGTGCTCCCGTGGGCAATGGCAATGGAGCTGGCAATGGTCATCTCCTTAAAGCGGAATCCTGGCTGAAGCTCAAGGATCAATTGCTGTACAACTATGCGGAAAGGGAGTCCAGCTATTCGCTGATACACAAGATACGCAGTGCAGTTTTGGACTCGAATATAGAGCTGTATTACCAAAAGATGGCCAAGCTAAAGCACAGACTGATCAACAGGAAGTTAACCCACAATGATACCTTATATGGTCTCGAGGACATCGAGCGGATCACTCTGCAGGTTTTCCGAGATCACCTGCCCGAGCCGACGCACTCGATGATCCTGCGGCGGAACCCGAAGAGCATGGAGGAGGCCTATCGCTATATAGTGGAGGTGCAACAGCAGTTCTACACGCAGAGTGGATCTCTGGCCACGGATCAGGCGGCCACATTTAGTACCAGCCACAAGCAGCAGTCCTACGGAGTTGGCATGGGCGGAGTCGGAGTGAGCACAGTGGGATTGGGCGTGGGCATGGGTGCAGTGGGTCTAGGACTCTCCTCCTATGCCCGCCAAATGTCTAGTGACAAGGGCCAGCAGAGCAACTCCAGGAGCTACTACAACCAGTCGGCACCACCGGTGGGAGCCGGTAAGAACCATCCCATGTTCAAGAGCATGGGCAATCCCACCTTCAAGTCCAGTTTCAGCTATAATGGCACCAGCAATACTTCAGGCATGGGTTCAAACTACTCGAGTGGCAAAAAAGCGGATATTAAACAGAACTATCAGCAGCAAAAGAGCCAGAACTATGCGAAGACCTCATCGGCCAGTGCCTGGAAAAAGTAATCTTCGATCGATCGGTGATCTCCCAGTCTTAACAATCCAATGAGATAAGCAGATCGAGCATGACCTAATCCCTTGGAGCCTGTGACTAAGCCAAGGCAAAGTGCTTGCCACCTCATGCTAATTACCCTAAAACCTCACCCTCTCTAATGGTGATGATGTGGCTGCAGATTATAGGATGTGAATATAGATTAAAGTAATGTGAGCAATACTGTGCAATGAGATGGAGCTGATTTGTACTAGGTACTACCAGTTAACCGTATAACAAACATATCAGTCCCATTTAATATGATAATGATGTGAATATTAAAATGTACAAATAATTGAAATGTTAATATTATAAAAGACAATGCAACAAATGAAATACCTCCATGAATTACAAAGTGTACGCCTGCACATGCAAATAATACAAACGATGTGAATATAGATGAAGATAATACAAATAATAGAAAGTAAAAGGTATTCAAATGATAGAAAGTGTGATAGGAAGAGGTAAAACCAATTATAATAATGTAATGTAATTTAATTAAAATAACAGAGTATGAAATCTATGATATATCATACAAAAGTAACCTGTAAAAGAACAAAAAGTATATGAAATAATAGTATTCGTAATCAAAACGTTGAAGAGTCATTAGAAATGATCTTGTCGATATACCAGATAATGAAGCCGATTAAAATGATGTTCAATAATGATGACATCGATCGCGTGTCTATCGATGATGATCAATCCGCAGACAGTATGGACATGTTAATTATTAGCTCATAAGACTCCAGTGTACATATAGCCCCACACCTCAAGCTCAGCCTCAGTCACATTACCCCCTATATCTCCCACAAATGCGCTATTTTAACAACAATCGCCCACCTTCAAATTTGTTTTTGTTAACAATAAAGTGTAAAGTCTAACAGCCCTATTGTATATGTTTTGAGGGTTATTTTTGGCAAAATTCTACTGTTTACTTACAATTTGTTGGGCACTTGATCGATGAGCGGAGTTCCTTTGATCATAGCCCATATCCTGAGGCGCTGGTTCCGAATGCTGTTCTTGGAGTTTCACAGTCTTGGGTCTCGACTTATCCTTGGAATCCTTTTCGGGCTTGCCGAAGAGTCCTCTCTGTTCCGCCCGTCGAATTAGGTATTTTTCATTCAGATGTGTTAAAGTTTTCCTTCGTACTAGGGATAAATAACTACCCGTAACCTGCTGTTTGATGCAATTATCCTGATTGATGCATATATCTGGCACCGTATCCTGCACAAACTCATCGATATCGGGGGTTACTATCAGGTCTATGCTATCCACTCTCGGCAAGGGTGGAGCCGATGAAGCCGGCGTTCCTGGAGTCGGAAGTTCCGGCTGTGCCGAGGGTTTATCCTTCTTTCTGGGCGAATCTTTGGTCATCGCAGCCGATGGAATATTAGCTGCCTCGGCCTCAGCTAGGGCCTCCAAACGTTTCTGCTCCCTGTAGGCATTGCGATGCTTCTCCAAGGCCAACTTATTGATCAGTTCCACGACATGCTGCACCATATCCTCGTTTTCAGTGCCCACAATGGAGTGTGTCTGGTACAGAACGAACTGTACTTGGGGTCGCGACATCGACATGGTGAGGGTGAGCAGCTGCTCCTCAAGGATCATGGCCACCCGCTGGCGACCCTCGTCGCTGACCTCTGATTCGGTGAGGACCTCCAGCATGCTGAGATCTCCGCCCCTCGAGCAGATCAAATCGATGGGATCCGAAATGGCACTAAAGGAGTTCGGTGGAGTGGCGAAAATTTCCACCACCGTTCGAAATCGATTCGATTCCATGGGAAACGAGGTGAAGGCATCGCCAAACAGACGGATATTATTTACCCCAATGGATTCCATATAGCGACGGTACTCCTTGAGATTTGCCCCGGCTCCATAAACATAGAAGTTGTTCACCCGATTGATGGAGTAGAAAAGAGCTGCCAAATATGCAGTGGATCGTGGCGAACCTATATGTGTCTGCAATATATCGCCATCTAGTTCAAAGTAATCCATCAACTTCGACATAATGGCCGGGCCAAAAGTAAAGTTCTTGTCCTGAAAGAATTATCAATAGTTGTAAACATTCAAAAGAGTGCATTGGAACTTCTGCAATCCAAAAACAAAATGTGTAAACACAACCAAAAGTTTTCAAGAATTTCATTACGAGACGAAAACATGTTTATAAAGATTTGGTTTCAATGTTTATTAATCATACGCCAAGTTGACTTAACCAAGATATATTTATACGCTGTCTACGCCGATTTTTTCCGGGAAAAACTCAATTTGCCCAACGTGTTGTTTTTGTAATTTTAACAGACATCTTTAACTGACTACAATTAACTGTAACCGGAAACAAGCATTTAAGGTAATGACTGTTTTGTTTTTTTAGTTTAATTGATCCAACCACTAGCTTCTAATCTATATTTTATGTGAAACAAGCTTGAAAAATAAAAAAGTAACGTAATTTTATCAGTTGTCTTACATAACAAATATTTTTGATAATAGCTATCCTTCGATTTAGGCCATCAGCGTCAAAATTTAAGTTGATAATAACAAAAAGCCTTTGTACTTTATATCTAAAGTCTGAGAGGCTTTTATTTATTTTAAATTCCTAGCATTACAAGTACTTATTAAAAATAAAATAAAATAAATAGAAATGTGTATCTAATAAATTCTTTATTTTATTCAAAAGTCTCACCTGCATAATGAAGTAGTGCTTAGTCATTAGCTTGGATTTGGTGAACTCACTGCGGTCCTTGGGAATGCAGGATATGACCAAAGGACATATATTGTCCCATTTACAGTGCTGCACCATAAGTTGCTCCTCATCGTCTGGTCCGTGGACAGTAAAGCCCATTTCGGTAAGGATCTTATCCGCTTCTTCCTTATTTCTTAGAAACCAAGTAAGATATGTTAAATATCTAATTCTACTTTATTTATCTTTGTTAAATACAAACCTCACTAAAAAAGGATTTATCCAACCGGTGACCACAGGATTCGCAGCTGCAATGGCCACTTTCTCATTCTGAAGATGGATGGGAAGGAGTTGTGAGAGACGAAGAGCTCCCACCTGAATCCTCATCCGGGAAATCGAGGCTGCCAATCGAATGCGATGTTGCCAGAGGACCTCCGCGAGTTCTGTACAAAAGTTGGCTTTATGAGGATAATATAATAATATTTTTACCCACCAGTAACTTCGCACTCCTTATAAAGACTAGCCTGTAGATCCTTCTCCTCGGAGTTGCGACCCTTAAACTGACGATCGTAGAGTTCAAACAGCATTAACCAAATACGTTGTTCGTCGCTTTTGTACTAAGATTAAAACACCATTAATTGTAATAACCTATTTATTTGTATATTTTTGTACAATGTACAATATACCAACCTCTGGATGTTTCTCAAAAAAGCAGACGTCACTCAAAGCATTCGACATTACAACCTTGTCTAAAAAGTTAAAGACAAAAACTTTAGACGACCATAAAATACAACACAATCTCAAGAACCCACATCGAAAAACATCGTATATTAAGGAGAAGGCCAATCGCATATCATGCTCATTTTGAAAGTCCACTAGAATCGGTGGTTTTCGGAGGAGTTTGGCGGCATTGGCAATGGTGGGCAAAGACCAGCGTGCTCCGGTCTTCAACTTCACCTTGACGGTAGTGGAATGGCAGTATTTCAGGGCCCTGCTTCGACGTCCATTGGGACTAACACCCGGCGATATGATCTTGGTAATACGCAATGGATCGAACATGGGCTTTTCCTTCTTATTGATCTCGTGCAGGGATATGGTATCGTCGGAGGAGTCGTTCACATGGCGCTGGATCTCCAACAGCATGTAGTACATCTTGTCCTGCCATTCCTCATCGCTGGGCAGATAGATCTGCTTGGTCTTCTTCAGCTTCTTACTCTGTTCCTTAAAAATTGCCGGATACACGGAAAATATGTCCGCCAAGCTCAGGAAAAACAATTGATTGGACATGGTGGATGATTAATGTTTCCAGCTAATCAATGGAAAGGTAAACCGTCAAGTTAGGTAGACCAATATATGAGTATAAAATTGTTTTATAATAACCATAATTATACGGCATGGGCATAGGCTGTATAAAGTTTGGTAAATCGTTCGTGCTTCAATTTAAAATGATAAACTGTTATAGACTATCTAAAATCAACCCAATTTCAGCAAAATCAGGTTATTAAAACATGCTATATCACGTTAAAATAACATTTTTAAGTCCCGGGGATTTTTCGGAACACAACGATTTAATTCAGTTTAACTAGGTATAAAAGCACTATTTGAATGTTTACTATCAGCACAATTATACAGAGTAATTTTTATTCCCAAAGCATTTATTATGAATACTTGATTATATTTGTCATTAGTCTTCAAAATTAGTTAGTTACCACTTTTAGGGGTTGTAGGTTAGGGGTTGTTCAATGTGGGACAATAACTTTTTTAGTTATAAGTAAAGAAAATAATATTAAGTATAATACAAGTTTCTATCTAGATGTCTTTCTAACATTTAAACACTATTTAAAGCAACTAAAGCCCTTCGCTTTTCAATAACATGCAATGTTTTAGATAAATTTCAGATTCTTGTTTGGTACAGCCTAGTGTTAAAGCACCATATAACACTATGCCACAATTCAGCACGAATGGGTAATTAGCTATAGATTCCACAACTATTCAGATATCGAAATACCGTGCTCTAATTTAGTTCATCTAGTAAATTTTCACTAGATTTCAGCACGATCGGATTGAGATAATCACTGGTAAATTACACGAAGGTATTTCGGATACGCGGGATATTTTCCGGATAAGCTTCCCCGGATAACGGTTAAAAGAGCAGGAGCGAATCCGAACCGAGCAGTTGCAGTGAACAGCGGCAACTGGATGAACGGAACTCCGGCGGACTCTTCTTTTGGTGGCGTGTCTTTCATCTCCCTTTTTGCCTTCGAGCCGTAAAGTCCCCGTTGCCCCCTATATTTCCCCACTTTTCCACCCATTTTCCACCCGTCCAGTCCACAACCAATTCCAATGACAATGACAACTGCTGATTTTCATTCTCAGTCTCGTTCTCTCATTTCCATTTCCATTTCGTTCGGTTCGTGCTTAACACCAATTCAATGCTGGGAGCCTCCGAATTCCGAATCGACATCCAACCAAGCTGCATGCTCCATGGAATTACTTATCTATCTCTTGCACACCCCTCCACCCATCCAGCCCTCTCGCTTCCACCCACCTGTCGCCGCATGCAATGTGCACGCCAATACTGTCGCCCTCTCGCTCTACAAAAACCCCCACCCCCTCTTTTGGGGAGCTGAAAAAATATTTGCCACAAAGGACAAACGGAACGTTACCGTTATAAGCTCTACCTGGATAAGTGTGTTTGTCAGAGCGATAGGTGTGTACAGATAGGATCAAAATTTTAGTAGTTCTAAAAAAAAAAAAACACCTTTGATAACCTATTTTAAAAAGCAATTATTAAGAAAGATAAAATACTAAGATGGTACTTAAGTTCTATTCTTAAAAATGTGTTAATTTTCAATAGAACTAAAAATTGGTCTATATTTATAGTTATATTTATAACTAGGGATTCATCTTAAAGGATTCATATACAAAGGAAATAATCCTTAAGATCTTTCAAGATATTACTCTTAGTTCATTTTCAACAAGTTTCAACAAAATAAAAGCTTGGGAATCTAGACCATTTCCATCTGATATCATGTTATTGAAAAGGAATTGAAAATATAAATAAATAATCCAATTCCTTTGTTTTAGCAATATACTAGTCTTGCATCAGATTTTCCCTTGAAGCTGAAAAACACTTAGTATTCCGAGTAATTCCAAGTTCCCCAAAAGCCTTGAAAATATGAGCTGCTACAACTTTGGCTACAGCTGTAACTGCCGTTTGGAGATAGATGGATCCAAGCGATATCACACTTACCTTTTATTTTTTACGGCCCCTGCACGCTTGACGTAATAAATTCCGTTTGCCATATTCGCATGATTTGCTCTGATTGGAATATTCGTCTTCAATAAATTGCCCGAAATGTCGCTGACAGAAATAGAGGGGCCAATGGGGTGGGTGGGCCTGGTATTCTTCGATGTGTTTGCCTTGATTAGTCGGGGGGCTTAGAGCCCCCAAAAGCCCCTGCCATTCGCTTTGATGTTTGATGGCTTCGAAGCGTTCGAATCGAACATCAAATTAAATGTTGATTAGACAACTTCCAACTCTAGTAAAATGGGGGTGGTGGAAAATTTATTGGCCTAGGTCAAATATCGATTATCGCCCCCGTCTCGGTGATATTGGGTCAGATTGAATTGAATGTCAATTTGATTGGCATATCTGGGTGCAAATATATATATATAAGGCTGTAGACTGTAGAAATATTCACTATTCTGGGTCTCCTTTGTGACCTTGAGCTGGGGAAAAAAGTTCGCTGAATGTTTACTTCTCTTCACTTTGCCTAATTGAATTGCCCAGCCTTTTGTTTAACTTCTTAACTGAGATCAATTATAATTGGGGAAATTGGAAAAAATCATATCAATTAAAAGTGCCCAAAAACTGATTCATCTAGACTGATTGTTGACCACAAAAACACTGACCACACAAAATAATTTAGGGGGCTTCTCGTGGATTGGGTTGCTATCTGCTATCGGGGCGAAATTTATAACCGAGGGCTACTATGACTGTTTAGATATGAATAAGCAAACTTGAATTAGAGTTATCAGGTGGTACGGGTACGTCGTCGGAAGATAACTCGGGTGTCATAATTAAATTTTTCCTCTGTTTCCCGTAAAGCTCTGCGGGCGAGTAAAGCCACCCCGGCTTAAAGTCGACCGATGCGACTTCTTTATCGGGACAGTGCGTGTCCGCCGTGGAAGCCTCCGCCGTAAATCATTTGGGAGCATTCAGGGCTTTGTTTTGTTTTGTTTTTTGTTTTTTTTTTTATTAAGAAGCATATTTATTATATATAAGATGTATGTAATACAATAATTTTTCTTTCTGTCCGGGTTTGCTCTTCTGCTCTTTACGCTTTTATGGTTTCGGTTTCATTTCGGTTTATCGTTTTCATTTTTGTTTTTGTTTTTCTTTATCCATTTTATATAATCATATAAAACACTGAGCTACAATACAAATATTGTGATAAAAACTTACAACATAACCTTTAATACATAAAAATACTTGCGTAGTCTACAAATCGTATCGTTATAGAGAATTTCTTCGTGGATCGATCGATCGCCCGCTCGTCTTCTCCTGCTTCTTGGTTTCTTTCTGACCTTCTCCTAAATTGTTTTCACTGCTTTTTTGTCGCGCCTCAATGGGTTCTGTATTTGTTTTCGATTTTCTTTTTATTTCTTAGTTGTGTGAGTTTTACCCTATTAAAAATTTTCATTCATTCTCCATCTGTGGCTGATGATGATTTGTTTTATTTTATGAGAAGTTAAAAAAAAAAAACGGAAAACAATAAACACCGAAGAATCCGTGAATGAATGGGAGGCCGACTGGATAAGGGAGAAAGTGTTGGAGTAGGAGAACGAGAGGGGAGTGACCTCCCCGCGGAGAATTCTTCCAGTTCTTCCGCTCCAGTTCTTCTCCTCAGATGTCTGTTGTGTTTTCTATGAGTTTGTCGTTCGTTTTTGTTGTCTGCAGCATTTTTAATTACAATAGAAATTATGTTTATATTTATATATATATTTGCATAATCAATATCATTAAATTAAATCGTATAAAACACAAGACAGTAGAAAAAATAAATGAGGCGTACATAATTTTGTTTCAATGGACGTACCAAAAGAGAATATACATAAGTAGTTACAAATTCGTACAAATTAAAAGATAAATTTTGTTCGTATGGATGGCCGAGTATTTGTTTTTGGTTCGAATTGTTTTGATTTGTTGTATGGGGGGTGAATCATCGATGGATCAACGCTCTGAGCATCTCATACGAAGGGATTTTGGTTTGCAAAATCATAATACACAGTAAAATTACAATAATATTTATAGAAATAAAATATAATATAATAAAAGAACCAACATACAGTTTTTATGTTTTGTTGTTTGTTTTGTTTTGT